AACAACTTAATCATATATTACTGCACCTGCATACATTAAAACATCAGGATTTATTCCAGGATATACTAATTAATAGATAAATTCATCATAATAATTATGAATCTCTAATGCATTGACTCCTTATACAGTTAAAGCTGGTAAATCTATTTCAATTAATTAAATTGATATTTTTGTAGAATAAACAATTTCTTCTTTTATAATGCTAACTTCAAAATTAAATACTTAATATGGAGCAAATGTACGAGGTGGTAAATATTAATTACAACTCTTGTCAAATAAAATTGTTTAATTTTCTTAATTAATACAAGCAGAACCATTTACTATGTCTTAACAACTCCAATTACATTCATATATAATTTTAGAAGCTTCAGTTTCAGTTAAATCTTTATCTGTAATTGTTGTATTTAAAAATAGTTTATCAGTATACCCAATCATTCTATTTCCACCTGCAATTGTAAGTATTGGACTAGATGGAACTATATAAATTTCAAAATTTTATGATGTACTAACAGTATAATCAGGTCTTGTTAATTTTGTATTAAAAATTAAAATATATGGATTTGAAAAATTGAAATAATATTAATTGATATTAAGAGGAACATCGAAAACAAATCCATCTTCTAAATTTTCTGTCAAAGTTCCATTTAATAATTAATTTTTATTATTTTTCAATTTAATTTCATAAAATAAAGTTTATTCTGGATATACTTTTTCTATACAATTTGAATAAGATATTTAACATTAGATTGAGATTTGATCATATCTACGAAATTAATTATTAGTTGAAACTGGATAAAAATTAATTTTGGATTATTGAGAAGCTTCAAATTAAAAATAATTGATGTTCTATAATTTAGCAAAACTTTCAATAGTAACACCAAATTTATATCTAATATTTGATTAGAAAATTTTTGGTGGAAAAGTAATAGTATCACTATGATTCAAAGTATTAGCATTTAATATAGATTATATTTAAGGGTCTATTAATGATGGAATATATTGATTCCATTAAATAACTTTGAAATTTTACTTTCCATTATAAAATAATTCTTCAAATCTAATTACTAAATCAGAACAAATATTTGAAGTACTTAAATCATTGAATTTCACACTTGGCTTATGAGTATCTAAATCAATTGTAGATGGAATAGAGAGAGGCATAGGAAGGATTTATAAAAATTGATAAGTACAACCTGTTAAAATGAATGATAATTTTAATTTAATAGTATCACCTACTTAAATGGTAGGATTTTATCCAAAAATAATTGAGAAATCTGAATTACAGAGAGGTTTCGTTCCTAATTTTAAAAGAGTTTCAGATTCAAAGAAAGCTTCACATAAATCTGTAACTCCTTAATCTAAATAAATGATAGATCCTCCAAAATCAATATTAAATCCAGTAAATTCTTCATTTAATCCAAAATATGGTACTCCTAATGAACAATCAGTACAATAAACAGATCCAATACTAAATCTACTGATTCCTTTCTAATCACATTTACATTCACCATTTATGGGCCCAACTCTATTACCAAAGCAAGATAAACATCCATATTAATTACAATCTTTACATGTTGAATCACATTGTTAACATTCTTAATCAGAATTTTCAAAAAAACCATCTGGACATCCACAAATAGGCTTTCCAACTCTAATTCCTGAGCAAACATCACATATTTCTGCTGATCCACTACAAGTTACACATTTTTTTGCACATTATGAACAATAAGTTTGATATGTATCAAAATAACCATCAGGACATACACAATCAGGATTATTAATTCTATCTCCTAAACAAGATGTACATCCATTAACATCACAGGTTTTACAATTATCTTAACACTTAACACAATTAACTGATTCTCCATCATCATAATAAAATTCTGGACAAGCACATGTCGGTAATAATCTATCACCTTTGCATTTAAGACAAAGATTTGCTAACCCTTTACAAGTCAAACATTTATTATCACATTTCGGACAATTAGAGTTACTTCCATCATCAAAATAACCAGCTTCACAATCACAATTAGGTGGATTAGGACTACGATTTCCTGAACATTATTTACAAAATCTTGGAGCTAATTCACAAGTCTTACACTAATATGAGCAGGTTCCTATCACCAGAGGAAAGTCAGAATCACATGCCGTACCAGTAGCATTGATTGTAAAACCAGGAGAACATGTACTTACACATTGATTTGCTTAAAATAAATTTGTGCATGATAAACAATTTTCATCAGAAGGTCCAAAACAAGTTTTACAAGTTGCATGACATTGATAACATCTTTTTTCACTTAATACAGAATATGAACCATCAGTGCAAATATCTTTACAACTATTTTCAATTGTTAATAATTTTTCATTTGGACAAGCAGTACATTAATTATTATTAGGCCCTGTACATGCAGCACACTCTATATTGCATAGTTTACACTCATTAGCTACAACATCATGATAGAGATTTCCCAAGCAATCTGTTATACAAGTATTTTAATATAAGATTAAACCACTATTACAAGAAGAACATTCATCTATTCCTTCTCCAAAGCAAGTTCCACAAGTGACATCGCATTTAATACATAAACCATTATATCCAAAATAACCAGTTGGACAATTAGTATAACATTAATTATCCAAAAAATACTAAGTTGCTGTACAACTTATACAATTGTCGTATATACATTTACAAACATACTAAGGTCTAATACCAACAAATGATTTTGGACATTTTACATAGCATTGATTATTTAGAGTATAAAATCCAATCATGCATTCAAGACATTAATTAGGTTATGTACCAAAACATTTCTTACAATTAGCTGCACATGGTTCACAAATATTATTTATGCTCCCATAACCATCATAACATTCAACTAAACATTGGTTTTAAAAGTAAGCTAATGGAGCATTGCATGATAAACAAGTTAATTCTGAAAAACCATAACAGGTTTTACATTAAGTGTTACAAGGAGAACACAGATAACCTACTTAATTATTATAAAATCCATCAGGGCATGTTTCATAGCACCAACCTGTGGTTTTTAATCTATAAAATTTGCTTGCACATGTTAAACAGGCTTAAGTTGAGTCCATACATGCAGCACAACCTTTCCAACACTTTGAACATCCATCATTTACTTTGTAGAATCCTAGCAAACAGTTTGTTTAACATTCTCCACTAATGACATTTTAGATATTGAGCACCTTACCTGCTGGACATGTGACACAATCTTTATTTGTACCTGCTAAACATGTTTAACAATTCGAATTGCATAAGTCACATGTTTTAGTGGTTGTATTGCCAAAAAATCCTGGATCACAAACAGAAATACATTCATTAGTTGATGATTTGTAATAGTAAGAATCCTAACATGTTGTGCATGTGACAGAAGAACAAATTTAGCATCCGCTGATACAATTGACACAAGTAGTTCCTTGTAAATATTGACCTTCAGAACATAGATAACATTAACCAGAAACAAGAATAGCCAATCCTTTACATGCAGTACAAGTTGTAGCTAATGTTTAACATTTCAAACAATTATTATCACAAATACTACATTTTGGATCATTTACATTACTAGAATCATTAAATTAACCATTTGGACATTAAGTTATACATTAATTTAATTGATTTCTAAAGTATCCATTAGCACATTAAATACATTCAGTTCCAATTGTACATGAATGACATCCTGTTTAACATGGTTAACAATCTGCAAATCCTGAATCGACATAATAATTAATAGGACATTAATCACAATTAGGAGAATTAATTCTTTTTGTTGATGCCAAACAATCTACACAAACACCAGCAGTTACACAAGTAGTACAATAAGTAGGGCAAGCTAAAATTAATAATCTGTAGTACCTATGCATTAATTATTCTACATGACATATCCTGTTAGACATGAACAGTCAGCAGGATCTTTATTTGCTGGATAAAGACAAGGAGTGCAAAAAGCATAAGTAAAGCAAGTATTACATCCTGTTTAACATTAAAATTGAAAAAGATGAATATCATCTAAATAGAAAAGTCCAATATATTTTCCTCCTTAAGATGGTTATTCAATTTCAAAAAGAATATTATTTTAAGATATTGGATATTATTCTGTTCTCACCCATGTATAATCTAAGTATGCTATATAATCAGATTTTGATGATTATAATATATTAATATTATTAATTTGTAATGTAGCAGCTGTTTACTTAACACCATTAATTGTTACATCAAATTTAGTAGGATTGAAATCAATAAAATGAGCTATTGCTCTAAACCTTATTTTATGTTAAGAATTTTGAATATTTTATGTTAGCAAGACCTTTTGGGATTAAAATGTATCAAATGAACCAACATAAAATTTATTACCATAAAAGAAAAAGCCTCTTTCTTTAATTTTTTCTGGAATTGATACAACTGTTGCCATTAAATGATTATAAGAATAAAAATGAAAAAATTCTGCTGTGGTTATAAAAAAGTAATAATGTCCAATTTATTCTAAATCATAAGTTTTATAATTTACCTCCACCATTTTGATTAGTCTATAGATAAGATTTCATGTCAGTGCAAGACTTAGTAGTCTCATCTTGATAATAACCATTTGGGCATCTCTTAACACAATTAGATTCAGAAATATCAGATTCTTAATATTTATAATATCCTGTATCACAAGATAATGATGTTTGAGTTCCAATGCAAGATGAGCAATAATGTTTTTCAAAACACATTTTTTCAGTTGAGTCATACAAATAATTTTAACTACAGGATGATATACACTAATTGGATTAGTAGACTAAATTATTTGAGCACTTGCAATAGTATTATTAAAAATAAAAATTTGGACTACATGTGGGAATGTAATCGATAAATTGAAGAATCTCATTTCTCCCTCTCTATTATTACTATAGCAAAATCAAATTTTTGATATAAATACCAAGGTTAGTGTTACTGACTTTTATTTCAAACTTCAAAGAATCTAATTTCATATTGATTATAAAGTATCCTTAGGATTCATAAAGAAATCTAATTATCATCGAACAAAATACCTTTGATTACAATCCCTATTGGAATCTGTGAGACTAAATTTTTAAGAGTAGACCTTTAAATCATTAGCAAATATCTACAGTTCATCATTATTCCAATTTCCAGATAAGGAAATCTCAAAATAAACATAAACTCTGCTAGTTTTAGGTAGAGAAAATATTCTCTTCCAATAAATAGGATTTAAATTGTTATCTAAGCCTATGTAGTTTTCAGCTAATTCATTTGTACAAAAGGATAAAGGGAGACTTAAGGTTTCATCCGACCATAAACTTACAGTGCTTTAATCTGTTAAATCTGTTAAAACTAAATATTTGCATTCTAAATTTATAATTTATCTTACTACAAGGCAGAAGAACCTGCTCATAAAAAAGAACGATAAAAATTATCATCTTAATCATCTATTATTAAAACGAAAATAAATTAATGAATTTCTAATTATAAATAAATCTCTTGTTTTTTCAACATATAATTTTATTATGATTAATGAAATACCACCAAAAATAGTTAACTCATTTTTATATAGAAGTTAATATTGAATATAAGTATAATTTCTAGCCTTGATTTTATTATCTAATTTTTATTGAGTATTACTAAGAGTTATGATCTAATATGTGTGCTTTTATTATAAAAACCTTAGAACAAGAATATTAAATTAAGTTTTCAAAGTAGAAAGATTAAAATTTTATTTTCAATTATTTAATTGTTAAAAGAAATAAACGATGATATATAATTCTTATAATCATAATAATGAAATTATTTAATTTAGAGTCCCTAAGTTAGAATTATAGAAAATCAATGAATATGCAATTATTCCTTTATAAATTAGAATAATTCAATTTTTAGAGATAACAGATTTTTTTTAGATACTATCATTAAAATATGATTTTTTTATCAATATTTTATTATTGCTTACACTTTTTTCTCCATTTTTATTAATTCTATAATTGTTTTTTTGAATTATATATATATAATTATAATTGTATTAGTTTTTCTAAAAATATAAAGATTTAACCTCTTTTTAAGACAACATAATTTAAAATTCAAGAAGTTATATAAATTTCATAAAGATTTTTGAAATAGCCCTTTTAATCATAAATAAAATATAAAATTTAGAGGTTTATAATCACATTAATCTTTTTCAATGAAAAAAGTTTATATTAAATATTTATAATATTTATAATATTTTATTTCCTTGGAAAGAAGTAGGATTATTAAACTAAAAACGGATTAAATATATTAATTCTAATGTTGAACAAAAATTAATAATTTTTGTATTTTTAATTAAATATATTAGATTGGCTTATAGAATCACTATTTCTAAATAATATAAAATTTATGAAATTTCATATTGATAAATAGAAGCACCACTTTATTTTCTTAATATGACTTAGTTCTAATTTTATTAAAAATTTGAATTTTTAATGAATTGCTTTAAATTGATTATTTTTTTTATAGATTTGAATCCTTATATTGTTTTGAATAAATTTTATTCATTATTAAATTGATTATCTATGAAATCAAGTCATCTAAATATCAAGACCTTATTTTATACCAGTTTATATCATAAGCATTATTAATTTCAATCAAATAAATTTTGAAATTATAAAATATTTATTGTTATCTATTATTTAAAGTGAAGTGGGGATTTTGTCTTATGAAATTCTAACTCTAATTTTAGTAATAAATTTTAGATAAGAAAAGAAGTATTTAATAATTATGTATTTTTTATTCGTGAAAAAACTGATAAAACGCAAAAATAGATAATTAACTCTATATATATGAATAAAAATTTAATCATTGAGTCATGAGACTCTCTCAAATCAAGCATTTAGTTATTACATTCTAAAATTGTGTTATCATATTCATCATAATTTTAGATAAATCTGGATCAAGTGGAGAAGTCTTCCAAATTTCATCCATAGTTAGATCTACCTTTTTTTCATTCAAATAGGCATATTCCCTAGAAAATATAATTCAATATTTATTACTCTCCTAAAATCTCATCCCATCTATATCTTAAATCTCTATAGTATCTATTCTTTAGTATATTTAATGGCCTTCCAGACATCTTTCGTTAAATTGTTTTAAACTTTGGTCCAAACATTAAAACAAAACCTAAAAGCTTTTAATCCTCTTAGATTGTGAAGTCTCTTGACTTTCTTCCTTATCGTTTTTTTTTTTTATTCTTTATGCTCTTTTTTCTCGACACTGATCTTTAATCTTCAAGATCAAATGGTATATTATTATTGTATTTGCTAAGCATAGATGGTTCCAGCATTTATTGTTCTGATAAAAGGTCATTTGATTATTCAGTTAGAGTTGATTGCGAATTATTGTCTTTCATTTCTCTAATATATAAATTTTTAATTCAAAATATCTGATCTTTAATTGAGCCCTTATATAGTACTAGATACGAAGTATATTTGAGAATATTTTAAGAAATTCTTATTTTGATAATTGTATTCATTAATTGTATAGGGATTTGTGATTTAAATTATTATGTAAGGCATTAAAAGATGTTTACATAATAACTTTAAGATGAAATGCAAATAAAAAATGTTAACCTAGCATTCTTTTGAAAAAAAATTCATGTATTTTTTGACTTAATAAGAAATAAAAACATTTTCTCTCATTAAATGTAGAGATTATAGATTACTAAAGATATTTTAATATAATAGGATTATTGTCATTACTTTTAAGCTATCATTAACAATAAAACTAAAAGTAATATATGATAAGGAAAGTATTTAAATTAGAGATCAAATTTAGGACAAATAATAATTACAAAAACCATTAAGTACAAGTTTGAGATACATAAAATAGTCAGTCAAATTTCAATATCTAATGTAGATATTGATCTATTTAATAAAAAAGTATGACTTTTATTTTTCTTACCTTTATTATGGTCAATTTTCAGAATTTCTCACATTTTATAAAATTAGTCTTTCATAATAAGTCTTCCAAATTAGACAAATAATAAATATAAAGCATCATCCATTAAGATTAATCATTCTTTATAGTTTTCTATTTATAGTTTATAGTATTTATTGTTTTCTATGTTATTAATCAATAGAATTGACATATAGACTATTTTGAATTAAATTATGGCAAATCTCATTATATTTATAGATTTGTTTCTGATTTGATGTTTTCTTATATCCCCTATTTTATAATAATCATATCAATTTTTATTTTTTATAAGAATTGTGTGGGCTTTCAGTTAGGATTTTGTAAATATCATTAAAATTTCTAATTACATTCTAAACTCATTATATAAAAGAAAATTGTTTATTGATATATATTAAAGGTTCTTTGAGACCTTAAGATGATGCATAATTATTAATTCTTTATTTTGAAACTTAAAATAATACATTTTTTTTTATTTAAACGAAAATATATTAGTTTTTATTATTTGATTAAAATAGTGCATTAATGGAATTGAAAGATCAAATACTAATAAAATTTTAGAAAACATGTTTTAAAGGGATGAAATTTCATTTTAATATATATTTCCTTATTTAAAAGAATTTAGAAGATTCAATATATAAATGTTTTTTATAATCAGAGTTCTAATTAAAAATCGTATTATAACAAAATAATAGGATTATTAAATTTGTATAAATAAAGATACTTTAATAATTCTTAAATGAACTTCCTCTAGATTTATTGTTAAAATTAAAAGCATATTAATATTTGAGAGAAAATAAATTAAATGTAATAATTGATATTGCATAGAAATTATATAATTAAGGATCTTTAGAGCATTATCAATAGATAGAATGTTAATTATATGATTTTATTAATAATTATATTGAAAAAATAGTAAAGAAAAGAATTTAATTAAACATTATTATTTTGAAAGAGACGGAATGAATAAATTAATTATTAAATATCTCTAACATATACTATATGAATACAATTTTAATGCGAATAAACAATGAAGAATTATTAATTTAGGATGTTTAAATGAAGTAAAGGCTTATGAAAGTAATTGGATGAATATATTAATACACAATTAGGATATTGAATAAAGAAAAGGATGGACGACGTTAATTTTATGTAAACTTAGATAACGAAGGATATTTAGATTATGAAAAAAGAGATAATTTGAATTAGTTTATTAAATCATTGTATATATTAACAAATAAAATGAAATTTAATTAATAAAAGTCCTTAAGAGGAAGTTTTTGAATAAAATGAAGATGAAACAAAAATATCATGCATAATACTACTGTAGGTTAATAAGAAACTTGAAAGTAACCAAACATATTAAAGATAACATTTTATTGCCTAATCTTATAATATTAGAATAAGAAATTATTAATGATTTATAAACAGAAGAAGGATTTAATAATAATAATAGCAAATGTTAGTAGGAAAGAAAATATAAATCAAAATGAATAGATGAATGGGATTAAAATATGAATATTCAATAATATTCTTATAAATTTTAACTAATCAATAATAAATACTGTTATTTATTTTTATTATATATATAAAACCTTCAATTAATTCAAAGTAATTGATCTAATAATCATTTAAATTGTCCAAGTTTCTGTATTTTGGTAATTTATAACTTATATTGATATAAAATTAACTTTATCTTTTTAAAGTATTAAAATAATTGACTATCTTTCAATTATAATATGAATATACAATATTTAAATTAAGATTATCTAGTTCTAATTTATTACATTATTAAATAAAGAATATTGTACTTAAAATTAAATTATAAAAAAATTCCGTACTTTTCTAGATTTAGAATAGTTATTTTACATATTATCAATTAAAGAACTTTTTATGATAGCTAAAACAAAAAAACAATTATCTTTTAATTGAATATTATTTATTCTAAAAGTATAAATTAATACTCAATAGTATTTGTAAATATTCTATGTTTATCTTGCTTTGGTAATAGAGTAGGGCCTATAAATGGTGAATGTAAATGTGATTAGAAAGGAATCAGTAGATTTAGTATTGGATCCGTTTATTGTACTGATTGTTCATTAGGAGTACCATATTTTGGATTAAATGAAGAATTTACTGGATTTAATATTGATTTTGGAGGATCTATCATTTATTTAGATTAAGGAGTTACAGATTTATGTGAAGCTTTCTTTGAATCTGAAACTCTTTTAAAATTAGGAACGAAACCTCTCTGTAATTCAGATTTCTCAATTATTTTTGGATAAAATCCTACCATTTAAGTAGGTGATACTATTAAATTAAAATTATCATTCATTTTAACAGGTTGTGGTTATAGATTATTTCAATTATATCAAATTTTTATAAATTCTTCCTTTAACATAAATTTAAATTTAAAATATATAACCATAAAAACCGTATAATTAATTTAATAATTTTTGTACAAATTTTTAAAGTAGTCATTAGGAGTGGATGAAAATTAGGGATGTTCTGTATAGTAAGTTAAAGTAAACTGAAATACATCACTGTATAATTGAGAATAACTTGATTATTCAAAATAAATTATAAATGAAATTTAGATCATTTAATTATTAAACAAATAAGTAAGTAATTATCAGTATTTATATTTATAGATGAGAAAAAAACGGGAAAGTTTAAATATTTATTTTTTTGTGTTATAATTACAAAATGTTTTCATGATGATATTTAAAACGCTATCTATTTATTCTTCTATATTGCTTAAAGTTAAATTATCATTTTTGTAAAAAGTATTTTAAATTGACATTTGAGTCCACTGCCAATTAATAATATGAAAGATTTATGTCATATTAGATAAATTATAACAATAGAAAAATGAACACATGAATTCTAATTAGATATGAAAAATACATATAATTTATTATTTTTCGTTTTTAATCAACATATGGTTATCCTAACATACTTATACGTTCTCTTAATATAGTTTACTATATTATGCTGCTGTAATCATATATATATAATTAGTTGGCAAATATATTGTTTAAAGTGATGTAACTATTCAAACCACTTCCAGTTAATGGAATGACTTAATTTCAAATTCATAACTTTCATTCTGCACAAATGAAAAGTCTGAAAATTATATAGGTTAAGCTACAAATTCAAATTAAATATAATGGTAAAAGACTTTCAACATATATCCCTTAACCAGCAAAGTGTATATCTACTTAGAATTTCAAATATCAGGTGAATGGAATGATGAGGAAGTTATTTTATATGTTGATAATGTAAAATAATACTCAGAAAAGATCTAATTCATGGATACTAATAAACTTTGTAATGATAAGTAAAAAATTCATTATATTATAAGCTTTCTTTATAATTCTTTTATGTATGTTGTATATAACATGCCTCAAAGTACAATGAATTTGTAAATAAGAGTAAATAAAATTGATGTAGGACTTTATATAAAAAATGTGATAATAACTTAAAGAACATAAAGAGGAAGAGGTGAAGTATTATAAACAATGTCAAATTTACATATTTGTTTAAATGGTCTAAGTTTGGCTCATTATTACTGTTAATGTAATAATCCATTAGTATACCAATAAAATTAATGCGTTGCTTCTTGTGATTAGAATTATTTATATAGTTTAAATGATAATCAATGTTATTAAAAACAACATTGTTAATCTTGTGTTGGATTAAATTAAAATTTATAATGCGACTTAGGATATTATGCCTATATGGAATCAGACTAAGACTTACCAGTATGTGTTTCAAAGTGTCCAAATAGTTATTATTAAGATGAAACAACTTAAACTTGTGTAGATTATCAAGAATATTTATCTACTAATCAAAATTCAGGATGTAAATTTTAATCTAATATTTCTTAGATCCAATTGATTATGTTTACTTTATTAAAACCATACCAGAATTTATGCATTATTTTTTATTGAATGATTTTTAAGTCATCATAGTTTCTGAACCTATTAGACCTAAAGAAAGAAACTTTTTTTATATGGATAACAATTTTTATATAGGTTCATTTAATAATTTTAAGAATTAAACTATTTAGATCTAAACAATTATTAAAAATCCATAACATAAAGTTAAATTTAGAGCTATTTGTCACTTTATAGATTTTTATCCAACTAATTTTTAAGTTTATATAAATGAAGAAAAATAAGATGATATTCCATTAATATTGGATACTCAAAATAGAATAAAGTAGGATAAAGAAGATTATATATTAAATTATGAATGGACTTGGTTCAAAACTAAAGATATCAATCTTGTTTAAAATTCAATCTTATTCAGAGTGGAACAACCATTATAAGATGGAAATTATATTGGTTATTTTTTCTTAGAAGATATTCATATTTACTCATTCTAATGTATGACAGGATGTCCAAGTTGTTTTACAGAAACATCTTGTCCTCCATGTACTAATCCAGCACATAAGAACTCTTAAGATTGTACTTGTCTAACAGGTTATGCTTTATAGAATGATATTTGTATCGATTGTCCAACTTATTGTACTACATGTCTTACAGCAGGGAATTGTGTGGATTGCATTATTGCAACTTAAAGATTAAATCCTCCAAATTGTAATTAATGTCCTGATAAATTCTATGTCAAATCTGGTGAAGATAATTGTTAACCATGTTAAACTGGTTGTTTTAAATGTATTGAATTAGCTAATTGTATTAATTGTTAGAATGGATACTTTAGAAGTAATACTAATTAATGTATTTTATAATGTCCTGATGGATATTTCAATGATAATAGTGTTATAAATGATCCAAAATGTACAATATGTGATTCAAATTGTTTAAAATGTGATACAGCAGCAACACATTGCACTGATTGTATAGCTGCAGGATTTTTAGTGGATTCATATTGTTATATTTGTTTGGAAGGGGAATATTTTTCAGGAACATCATGTTCACCTTGTATTAATGGATGTCAAAAATGTATATCAAATATATGTTAATAATGTTTGGAAGGATATTATTATATGGATAGTAAAAATGAATGTTAAATTTAATGTGATGATGGATATTTTGGAAATTATTAGGCTCGATAATGTCAAATATGTGATTCTACCTGTAAAACATGTGATAATAATACAAATATTAATTGTTTATCTTGTCATATTGGTTATGTATTAAATGTAAAGAACATTATAAGTGGAGAGTGCAAATTTACATGTTTGCCTGGATTCTATAAATAGGTTGATAATTGTTATTAATGTTGGAAAGGATGTGCATCTTGTATTGATTAAACATAAAATTGTTTGGTGTGTGCTTAAAATTATTTCAGATTAAAAAGTAATGGATTATGTTATAGTAAATGTCCTGATGGATATTATAATAATTAAATTGGATATTTATGTTCTCCTTGTCATCCTATTTGTAGAACTTGTTCTGGATTATTGCCATAAAATTGTTTATCTTGTAATTCCCCATTAGCTTATTATTAAAATGAATGTTTAACTGAATGTTTGGATGGATATGGCAATGTCAATAATGTATGTACTCCCTGTGTCTCTAATTGTAAGAAATGTTTTGGTACATTACAAAATTAGTGTCTAGCTTGTTTATAAGGTTACTATTATTTAAATAATTAATGTTATGTGAAATGTCCTAGATTCTATAATAGTATAAGACCTTAATATATATGTAAGTGTTAATTTTTTAATTGTATTGAATGTTTAGAAAATTAATATTACTTCAATAATTTGTGTTATGATGTATGTCCACAAGGATATTTTGGATTTAATAAATTGTGTAATTTATGTGATGTTACATGTAAAACATGTTTTGGTGAAGATACAATTGATTGTTTGAGTTGTAATAATAATTTAATTTTGTGGAAAAATAAATGTATTCCTACTTGTTTAGGAAATACATATCATGATATTTTAAGTAATGAATGTAAATATTGTAATAATGAATGTGTTGCTTGTAATGGACCAAATAATAATAATTGTTTAGTTTGTCCTTAAAATAAATTATTAACTTTAGAAGGTTATTGTGCAGATGAATGTTCAAGTGATTAATATGCAGTACTCCCAGAAAATAAATGCTATCATTGTCATTCATCTTGCTTAACTTGTTTTGGATCATCATATTAAAATTGTTTAACTTGCCCAAAATATTTTTATCTTTTTGAATGTGTTGATGAATGTCCTGAAGGATTTAAAATTAGCAAAAATTAATAATCTTGTGAACCAAATTTTGATATTGTACTTGATTATTGTACATATTAATGTGATACATGTTGGTTAATTCCTAGATTTTGTAAAACTTGTGCTGCTAATCGTGCTCCTAATCCACCTAATTGTGATTGTGAAACAGGATATTTTGATGATGGTATAAATTCAATTTGTTAAAAATGTGATAATAAATGTTCTACTTGTAAAGGTTTATCTAATAATTGTATAAAATGTAAAGGTGATAGATAATATCCATTGTGTTCATGTCCTGATTATTATTATGATGATGGTGTTTCAGTTAATTGTATTAGATGTTAAGATAATTGTTAAAATTGTGATTCTGATGGATGTACTATATGTTTAGCTGATCGTATTAATTTACCAGATTGTATTTGTAAAGATGGTTATTATGATTCATATGCATATTATTGTTAATAATGTGCACAAAAATGTGATACTTGTGAAGGAACAGCTAATTTATGCAATAAGTGTTCAACTATTAGAGTAGATCCTCCAATTTGTAAATGTCCTTTAGGATATTTTGAAAATTCAGAAATACAATGTTAAGCATGTGATCCAACTTGTATTGATTGTAATTAATATGGATGTCTTTCTTGTTTTGGTAATAGAATTGGACCTATATTTGGAGAATGTAAATGTGATTAAAAAGGAATTAGTAGATATAGTATTGGTTCAGTATATTGTACTGATTGTTTTGTTGGAGTTCCTTACTTTGCTTTAAATGAAGAATTTACTGGATTTAATTTTGATTTTGGAGGTGCAGTAGTATATATTCCTTTTGAAATTGATTCTCTATGTGAAGCATTCTTTCATCCTGAAACTTTAATTAAATTAGGAACTAATCCTCGTTGTGATTTAGAATTCAATGTTTATTTTGGTCTAAATCCTAATATTAAAGTTGGAGATATTATTAAATTAAATAGGGAATTTTTATTAAGTGGATGTTAAATTAAATTTGTTTAAATTATCCCTATGCCATTGTCTATACCAATAACAATTGATAAAACAACACATAAACCAAATTTAAAATTCAAAGATTTAACTAATCCCAATATATGTGAATCAATTAAAATAGAATTTGATTCTTTGGCTTTTAATGGAAGATAATCATTTGATATATTATCATGGAATCTCATTTTACCTTCACCTCCTCTTCCAGAAATTGAAATCATTCTATAAAATCATACTTTAAATCATCTACCATATTTAGAATTTCCTCCTAAATTATTTGAAAGTGGAACCATATACAAATTTAGTGTAATGGTAGAAAGCTTTGCATTATTATAGAATTCAATAGAAGTTCAATTTTAAGCTATGTAAAGATCTTCTATTAATTTTGTATCTACTTCAAATATCAATTAATTTCATAGATTTGAAAAGATTATTATACCGAATGTGTTGACTTATATCAATTGTATTGAAAAGAACCCTCCTCCTTAAATAGTATATTATGAAATATATCTTAACAATCTCAAATTATTAATAGTTGATGGCAATTTGACTGAAAATCTCACAGATGGTTATTAATATGATATTCCTATTACTTTTTAACCATATTTCCTTAATTTTAATAATCCTTTCATTTTAACATATAATACTATTTTAACTAGATCTGATTACATAGTGAAAAGTTCATCTGAATTTGAATTTTATATTGTTCCATCAAATCCAGTTATTACTATAGCAGGAGGTAATAGAATGATTGGATTCTAAGATGCCTTATATCTTAATACCACAATTACTGATAAGGATCTAAATGATCAAGAAATTAAATCATAGGTATATGAATGTTCCTGGATATGTTTGGATATCATAGATGCTACATATTGCTAGAATCAATAAAAATAACCTCTAGAATTTAATTCTAGCTGTTCATAATACATTAAACCCAAAACATTCTATCCATATACAGTTTCCAATTTTGAAGTTAGTATTATTAAATAGGGAAATAGATTCTCTACAACAGTTTCTATCTAATTTATAGAAATAGATTTACCAAGTTTAATTGTATATGGTGCAGATTCAGAATAGTTATATAATTATTATAATGAACTTATATTCACTGTCCAATACCCAGGAGTTAATCCTGATCTATTGATGTATGCAGGAGCTGTAATCTATGATTAATATGTGGTTGCTACATTTGAATTCTTTTATCTACAATTCAAATACAAATAGTAAAATTATTTCATTGATTTATTGTAAGACAACACAATCAAACTAAGATTATCAGTCTATGATCCTCGTTTTATACTTCCATCTATCAATACTTAAGTATTAAAAATGAATATCCCTCCTTAAAATTGTACATTATCATATCAATTACCAGAGAGTTATGTAGAATTCTTAGATGAAATGAATATCTCATTAATTGGTTGTAAAGATAATAATGCTCCTCTTATGTATAGTGTGTATCTTTTCCCTAATTAATCAATTTATCAGGAAGATTTGATTTCATCTAAATTTCACAACTTTGTTAGACTTAAAAACTTTCAATCTTCAAATCATTTCAAATTAATCTTACCTTATTATTTTGAAGATAAACCCTTTTTAGTATTTAATATTAAAGATTCAAAATATGGTATAGTGAATTTGACTTTAACAGTTAATGTGAAGGAATTCAAAAAGATTGATGAAAGTATATTCAAGGATTATTAATCTACACTTTTAAGTTTTGATGAATAATTAGTTGGTTATGTATTAATTACTGAAAGATTAAAACAACTCAAATCACTTTCTTAATATAAGGAAAAGTTATATAAAGATTTAATTACAATAGATGTTAATCAAACACTATTGGCTAATCAAACTGAATCTTTATATCGATCTATTTCAAATCTAATAAATCAGAATGTAACATTAATATCTATTAATGAAACTATTTTACTTAATCAAATCAATTATAGAATAATGAAAGCAATATCAATATTGTCTCAATATTTTAATTTGCAAAAGCAGAATCAATTAACTTCAGAGTAAAATCTTGATAAAAATGAATATATTAGATAATATTATGTTTTTGTAGACATTCTATCATCAGGCATCAATTATAAGGTGAATTAAAATGTTACATCAGATTACTTATTATATCTTTTAAACTAAATCTAAACTCATTTATAATCTATTAGTGTTGTTAATGAACCTTTTTATAAAATGATTTAGAATTCAGTGAATCTAGATTTTGGATATGTTACCAAAAAATAAGCTGAATTAATTATTGGTCTAAACTCATCTCTAGGATAACCTATAGGAGATAGTTAAGAAGTAAATGATATATATACGAGTGCCACAAATTATTATAAGTTTTCTATTACAAGATACAAAGATAATCCTTTCTATCCTACTTCTTAATTCCCCAAAAATAGTAGTGGATATTAAGCTGTTGATCCAAAATTATAGGAAACTGGAAGTACTTAAAATACTATGTTGGGATAGGATATTTAATTTTCTATTCCCAAAGTTAGGACATTGAACTCTAATACAACTTTAGAATGTATTTCATAATTATAAAATGGTACTTGGAGTGCTGATATTTGTAAAACAATAAAAAAAGATATGGAAGTTATTTGTAAATGTGAGAAATTGAGTCCTACTTCTGTTATGGAATCTATTGATTAAATATTAGATAAAGCAAGTCAAGTTTTCTCACTTACCACCTTAGAAGCATTTGCAACATTTCCATTTTATTAGACAATCATATTTTACTTTTATGTTACAATCACTGTGTTATATTTGTCTATTGTCTATTGGGGCATAAAAGTAGATAATTAAATGTTTTCATAAATACATGCCTAATAGGAATTAGCAAAAAATGAAACAGAAGTTAAAAACACTGTCTAAAATAACTTGATCAATAAATAAGTAGATTCAAAATATACTAAGATTGGATAATTGAGAGATTCATCTATTGAATATTAACATACTATGCCTTTATTCAAAAGAAATATGTTTGGAACTGGACTCTCTTATGGAGCAATTATATTAAATAGATTCAAACCAATAAATCCACAAATAAATAATAAATAATCTATTTTAGAAACAAATCCTGAAGAAAAGTCTAGTAAAGATTTGAATAAAATTGATTAATTATTTAGTCAATCTCAAGTTCTATAATCTACTAGAATAATCAAATAAGGATTATTCAATAAATAAGAGGAATCTCTTAAATAGGAGGATTCCCATAATGATTAAAAATTATAAAGGAAACTCACTATACAAGATATAGGACTAAAAAGTATGTTAATTAAGAATCTTATTACTAATTTTAGAGCATTTATTGAATTTCTCAAATACTTTCATTAAATTTTATAAATAATTTATAAGGATGATCCCATAAAACCAAGAGGATTGAGAGCATCCATTGTTTATGTTAGTTTCTTAGGGGGAATGGCCATAATATTTGTATTTTAATAACCTAATAACTTAAATTTTACAATAGGTTTATCAATTTTGACAGCACCAGCAAACAAGATATATTAAATAATTTTAGAAAAATCATTATCAAATAAATCTAGAATGATCAGAATGATTGGAGTTTTAATAATGATTGGTGGTGCTGCCCTTATTTCATATGTCATGTTAGCTGGTTTAGTAATAATGAATTAAACTCAATAATCTAATTAAATGAGTTTAATCTTTATAGGAGCATTTCTTGTAGATAATTTAATTTATAGTCCAATGTCTTTATTAATTACTTATTTTATTCATATGGATATAATAAGAATTCCGTTTCTATAAGGAATTTTAGTGAAAATTCTGGATGAAAAAACAAAAGAATTTTTATTTGGATTAGTAGATAATATAAGAAAATAATGAGAATTAAGATAATATATTGAATTAATTTATATAAATATAAAATGATCTATATTGAGTCTTTTTAATTAATTAATAATCCTAAAAACTGAAAAAGATTGTGTTGTGATTAAAAAATTGGTAAAATTGCTTAAATAATAAATTAATATATTAGACTTTTTATATGATTTTCTAGACATTGAATTTTAATTAATAATTTTTTTAGATGAAAATCTTGCTGATATTCGTTACAAAACTATATTTAGGTATCATAGATATCAATTTTTAGTCATGACTTAATCTTATACATTAGTAAAATCTGATTTAGTTACTACAGGAGCCCATACTTGGGTAGATGAAACATCTACAGCTTTGTCTGCTACAGCTACATTATGCTCATCCTTAAAACAACCTTATGTTACTATAAGTAGTCATTTGGCAAAATCAATATCAAATTAATATATCGTTAATGACAATGATCATGAGATATATATTAAAATAATTGTAGCAGGAACTTGGGAGGGGGATTCTTTAGTCATCAAAAGTAATACAGCAACACTATAGACACAACCACTAACAACTGCAACCTAATTGAATGAAGTTTATTGCACATTAACTAAGTAATTTATGAATTAATAGTTAGTGTGAAAGTGTTGGTTTTTAAAGTTTAAGCACTAAAAACTACATTAATAACAAGTGGCTCAGACAAAATACTGAAATTAGTCATTAGTATACCAACTCTTAATAATGCTGCAAAAATAAAAACAATCTATGTTGGTCCAGTATTGATTTATGAAATCGGTACTTCAGTTGCACCTACTAATACTTATGTTTCAAATAAATAGTTTTATTATTTTACTTCATCTACATAAAATCCTAATACTGTTTTGCCTAATTTTAATTATAATACTATAAATTCAATTTCCTCTTAAAAATATGATTTACTTACTTTTGGAAACTCAGCAGCTAATTTTATTATAGGAGGATTTAAAAGATGGAATACAGGAATTATAACATTTACTGAGACATTATAAATTCATTATAAAATTAAATTCAGTTTTTACGTTTATGCTTTTGATACATCAACTATATTAACATCAGCAAATTTGATAATTACAATAAACGGTGCTTCAGGTCCAATTATAGTTCCTGATACTTCTATAAGCAGAATATAAGCTGGTAATCTCTATGGTAGTAGTGGAATGGATTCCGTTTATTTTGTTGATTATGAAATGGATCATGTAGATACAAATTTATAAATAACAATTGAATTAACTACAACAATAGACTTAGGAATTACTAACTTTTATTTACTATCTAAGAATTGTCCATAATTTTGTTAAGCTTGTAGAACTGAAGGAACATGTGATGCTTGTTCAAGTGTTGATAATAGAAATTAAGTTACTTGTCAATGTAATGAATAATATTATGAAAATATTGTTGATAATACTTGCAAACGTAAGAATCATTTTATTATATTTTAGCATGTGATTATAGATGTGCCAAATGTGTTTATGATGTAACTGATGTCAAAGGAAATTGTTTATTATGTAAATATGGTTTTGACATAAACACTAAATGTTCTACTTGCATTTATTCATATTAATTTGAAAATACAGTTGCTGTTAAATGTGAAAGTATACATTATCATTTTTATAATTAGATTGTTAACCATGTTGTTTAACTTGTTCTGGTCCAACTGATAAAGATTGCATTACTTTCAAAAAACCATATAAGATTATGCCAGATAATTAAGCAGTTCTAGATTGTCCATCTAATTATTATATAGTTTAATAGACAGCTGATAGAACTCTATGTGTTATGTGTGATGTAATATTCAAATTTAATTTCTCTTTAGGTTAGTTGTAAGACATGTGCTGAGACTTAGTCTAAATGTACAACTTGTTATGATGGATATGATTTGTTATTCAATTAATGCTTACTATCATGTCCAATCAAAACATATAGATTGAATAAAGATTGTACTCCTTGTACTGATCCATAATGCGAAATTTGCTCAGAATCATAATGTCTCTATTGTCTCCCCAATAAATTTATGTCAAGAATCTCAAAGTTATGTATCTCTCCTTGTGATAGTGGATTTTATGGTGATGATACTACTAGATCATGCAAAAAATGTCATCAAACATGTAAGGAATGTACTAATCCTCTCTTCACTTAATGTTCAACATGTCCTGATAATACATATATGTTGGTTTTGGATTCTACACTTGTAACTGGAATCTGTTATAAGATTTGTAAAGAAGGATATTATCCATCTGGTAAATTCTGTGTTCCTTGTTATGAAGGTTGTCAATTTTGTACTTCACCAACTGTATGTTAAACTTGTGTTGCTGGATTTTATTTACATAATGAATTTTGTGTTGAGACTTGTCCATCCAAGATGTATGCTAATTAATTTGTTTAAAAATGTTTAAAATGTAATGAGACTTGTATTGAATGTACAGGAGGTGAAAACTATTAATGTTTAACATGTAGTGGAGGATTATTATAATATTAAGGAAAATGTTATCCAATATGTCCAATAGGAACAGTAGGAGTTAATGGTGTATGTGAATCATGTGCTTTAAATTGTGATATATGTGTAGGTACAAATATATATGATTGCACTTAATGCAGTACATAAAAGTATATTTTAAATGGATAATGTTATGATGTATGTCCTCCATCATATTAAGGAGATATTCAAACATTTACTTGTGAATTTTGTATTGATAATTGTGAAACTTGTGTTTCAAGTTCTTGTAAATTATGCTTACCTGGATATTTCTTTTAAGATGGTTAATGTATGTCATCGTGTTATGATGGTTATTATCAGTCTATTAATGATAGAAAATGCTAACCATGTAATTTGATTTGCAAAACATGTTCTGGTCCAGATATTGATGATTGTTTGACATGTCCAAGTAGTTACTATTTCTATTTTAATAATTGTTTACCTGAATGTCCAGATGGATATTATGGAGCAACTGGTAAAATTTGTACAGAATGTCATTCATCTTGTTTGACCTGTCATGGTCCTCTAATTGATAATTGTGATACTTGTCCACTTACAACTTATCTTTATCAAGCGAAATGTTTAAGTGTTTGTCCAAATGGAACATATGCTTCAGATACATATTAATCTTGTATGCCATGTCATGTGTCTTGTCTTACTTGTTAAGGAGGATCAAGTTTTGATTGTTTGACATGTCCAGTCTACATAGAAAGAATGCAATGTGTAACTAGTTGTAGTCCTGGATATGTATTGAGTGGAGTAGAATGTAACCCATTAGTATAAATAACTATTGATTGTGATCCATAATGTGCAACATGCGCTCTTTAATCATCAAATTGTGTTACATGTTAACCATCAAGATAATAAAATAAACCTTAATGTACTTGTTAAAGAGGATTTTATGATGTTGGAACTCCAAATTGTTCACCATGTGATCATAAATGCGCAACTTGTAAAGTATAAGCTGATAATTGTTTAACTTGTAAAGGAAATAGGTATGGTTCTACTTGTATTTGTCCTGATTATTATTATGAAGATGGTATTTCATTAAATTGTCCAAAATGTAATTATAAATGTGAATTATGTGAAAATAATATTTGTACAACATGTGCAGATAGAAGAGAAAATATACCTTCATGTACATGTCCAGATGGATTTTTTGATAATCTCACTCCAATTTGTTAACCATGTAGTGAAGTATGTACAACTTGTGTAGATATTGCAGATAAATGTTTAATATGTTCAGGAATAAGAGAAAATCCCCCATTTTGTACATGTCCTTCTGGTTATTTTGATTTTTCAGGCTAATGTTTAAAATGTGCATTTGAATGTGGAGATTGTGATTCAAATGGATGTGTAAGTTGTAAAGGTAATATGAGTGGTCCATTTGTTGGTAAATGCATATGTAAGGATGGTTATTCTAGAAAGAGTATTGGATCTGTATATTGTACTAATTGTGATATGGGTGTACCATATTCAATTTTAACATCAGGATTAAATAAAATTAAGATTGATTTTGGAGGACCTTTAGATTTAGTTGATAGTACTCAAACAGGTTGTGATCAATATTTCTAGGCATCTACTCTTTCTACTTTAGGTACAAGTCCAATTTGTACAATTGATGAAAATGCCATAGTTGTAACACTTGGTAAGTATGCTACAATAATAATTGGACATAATTTTTCTTTTGGAAATGGTTTCAAATTGAAAATATGTACAGCAGGTTTTTCAACCTTTTAACCTAGTAGTTTAATAATGGATCCAGCTGTTTCAAATGAAGAGAATTTACCATACATTACTTTTGTAGCTTAACAACCAAAAACTATTTGTGAGGCAGTAGTCATAAAATATACTCTTGGTAATACAGGTAGTAGAAATTTAGAAATTTTCAGTTGGGATTTGATATAACCTTAAAATTATGTGAATACTCAATTAAGTTCAATTCTTAGTTCAATTACTCCTGCTAAAACTTATGATACTAATATAACAATTCCTAGATTAGTATTAAAACCATTTACAACATTTTCATTTAACATACAATTACGAAATTTTTTAGCATTAGATGCTTCTAATACTTTTTTCCTTTAAACTTTAGGACCTGCTCAAGTAAGTATATAAGAACCTGAAGAATAGAATACATTTTATAGATATGAAACAACTCTGCTCAATTTTACATTTATGTATTCAAATTGTACATTGACTTCAGAAATGTCTGAGACAGTTGAAATTTTAGTTAAATTGGATACAATTATATTAGCTGAATAGAATTAGATATTCTTTTTATAAATGAGTTCTGCTTTCGATTTCCAAATTCCAATAAATCCTTATATTCTTTAAATTGGTTCAAATAATATTAGTGTTGCTATTAATGTTCCATCATAATCACTATAAGCAAATATATTTATGAATTAAGAAATTGCAGAAGGAACTTTGATTGTAAAAGTAAATGGTGGAAATAGACAAGTTGGTGATGTTGCTATAGTTATTTTGACAGCTTCAGTTATAGATTAAGATATTGATCCAAAAGAAACAGATCCATTTTAATATATATTTTCATGGACATGTTTTGATGTTTTGAAAGGTGCTGAATGTTTAGATTTATATGGTAAACTCATCAAATATCCAAATGGAAAATCTGTTGTTATATAAGCAAGTGAATTAAGTTAATATAATTCATATGTCTTCAGTGCAGAAACAAAGAAGGGTAATAAATAAGCATCAGGAAAATCTATGATTCAAATAGTTGAAGTTGATGTTCCTTAATTACAATCAGCAAATGAAAAAGAGGAAGCAGAGATCATTACATAAATATTTAATTATTATGATGAAATTTAATTGTCTTTTTAATATACATTAGCTAATCCAGACAACCTATTTTATTCAGCTACTATAATATATGATTAGGTTTCTGTAAAATCATTTAAATTTTATAGTTTAACTTTTAAATTTAGATTACTTGATTATTTTACAAATCTTAATACAATTTAAGGTAATAAAATTACATTAAGAACATCTGTTTATAATCCAACTTATGTTATGCCATCTTTAAGAAGCATTATTTTATCCTATAATTTGCCACCAAGTAATTGTACTTTAATTTTCAATAATCCTGATGATATTATATATGAACTTAAAACATATGTCAATATGACTATTGCTTATTGTGAAGATGAAGATCAACCATTAGAATATAAAGTCTTATTTTATAATGATAAAGATATGTATGATTATGATTTCTCTATTGGAAGATTCATCAATAATATAAACATCTTAGATTATTAATCTAATAATACAATAACATTTCAATTACCATTTGTTGGTCCATAATAATCTAACAATTTCACATCTTTCCTAGTATTTATGATCAAAGATAATAAGAATGGAATCTCTAATCTTACTACATCTATTGTAATCACTAAAAATTAATAAATCAATTAAACTCAATTAACTAAAATGATTGATCATTCTGAGAACCTTTAAGATACACTCTAAATTTAAGATCTAATTGTTAGTAGAGTTGTTCAAATGGATAATTGTTCCTAATTTAAATATGATATTATTAGAAAAAATGATTTAATAGCATAAAATGATCTATCAATTGATCAATAAAATGTTATACTCAATCAGATGATTTAATTAATTAATGATAAAGAAGTGATTTCATAATTTAAAGTACAATTAGATTCTCTGAATTCATTCAATAAAATTATACAATCCAATTTTGAAAAACTTAAAACCTTATAATTAGATACTCAAAGTACTTTGTAATAATAAAGTTATATTAATAATTATTATAAATACTTTGATCTGTTCTCTTCATTAATTACCAATAGTAAATATTTCAATTCTACTAATGAATAAGTTTTGGAATACATAGATTAAATCAAAACTCAATTAATTGAATTAACTATTTTGAATAGTGATGGTTTTACAATTGAAAATGATTTAGCAACTTTATAAATTAGAAAGGCTAGTTACAAAATTATAAATGAAATGACTGGTAATATTTTGAAAGAAGAAACTGTATTTAGATTATTGGAATCCACCTAATCTAATTACTAATATTACTTTCATAAATTTATTGTGAATCCATATTTAAATGAAGAGACCTTCCCTAAGAATGATTCTTTTGGAGCTGAAGCAATCTATTTAAGAGTTGTGGATGAATTAACATAATTAAATGCTATAATGTTATAACCATATACTTATACATTTATAGTTGATGAGGATTATGCAAATAATAAAACTATTTGTATATAAAAATTATTTGATATTTGGACATCTAAAGACATAGAAACAATACTTATTAATAAAACTGCTATTTCATGTAAGATTTTCTAATTTAATCCATTTACAATTGTTATTAATAGCACTATAGTAGATAATAGTACAAATAATAATACAAATTAAACTACAGATAACACAGATAATGATTAAGATGAATAAGATGAATAAGATGAATAAGATGAGTAAAATAATAATAATAATAATAATAATAATACTAATAACAATAACAATTCAAATAATACTAATAATAATAGTAATTAAACTAAAAATGTTAATAATAATACTTCTAATACTCTATTAATTTCTGAACCCTTCTTTATTTATTTAATTTGTATAGGATCATTAATTTTATTGTTTGCCTTCTTTGCTCATTACAAAGATACATAATTTGCAAAAGTGTATAATCACAAGAAATCCTAATCAGAAATTGTCATCACAAATTAAAAAGATGAAACTCCAGATATGAAAAAGAGTGAAATATTTACATATAAAGAAAGTAGAAATTAATATGAATAATCTTCACCATCATTGACAAATATAGCAAAGCCTTCTTCATTCAAGAAATTTAAATTAATATTACTAAACTTTCATACTTTAGGAAGTATATTCTATAGAGATGAAGCTTATAGGAAGATCACATATTTCAATTATGTAATTAGGTTCTTGTTCATTCAATTGTCCATACTTATAACATATATCTATTTCTCATATGACTATTAATTATCCCTAGTATTTCTATTAAGTCCATTAGCATTTTCAATTTATACATTCTTAATGAATGTTCCATCATAAAACAAAATATATTTTGGTCTAAAGCTATTGGTAACTATTTTGTCATTAGGTACAATTGGATTAGCTATCTATAGAGTAGTTGATTATATAACAGATGATAATGAATACAATTTAACTAAAATTACATTTTTCTTGGCAGCATAAATCTTGTATGATAATCTTATATACAACATGATTGTAATTATGATCATTTTTATGATGACAATCAAAGAAGGAGCTATATCTCTTTGGATAATCAAATTCATGCAATCATCAGATCAAGAATAAATAATACATAATTATCCAAATTCAGATGCTATTAAAGAAAAATGAATAAAAAATAAAATTATAAATTAATTATAAATATATTTCAAATTTAATCTCAATAATTCAAATTGTATTTTTTATAAAAATGTCAGGTATCAACATCAACATCAATCTGAATCTAGATAAGAATAAGTAGAGTTATATTTATAAACTAGAGAGTTGCCAAAAGCAAAGCAGATAAAATTTGCAATGGAGAACCAAAAAAAAAGAAGAAGAAGAAGAAATTAAACAAATCAAAATAAGCAACATATTCTCCTATTCCTTGGGGATTAAATTAAGAAAGACTTAAAAAATACATCTATGCTCAAATGGTTAAGAGAGACAATCTATTGTATCAAGAACAATTAAGGAAAGTTAAATTTGAAGAACCAAAATAAGATCGTAGAGAAATTTTAGGAGTCTCATTTTTAAATCATCTACCTAAAAGAAAAATTAAATAGATGATAAATAGTAGTAAACTTGAATATGATTTATTCTTTTAGAGTAAAAGATTAATGAGGATGAGGAATAAATGTATTATTAACCAAAATTTAATGAATAATAAATACAGGAAATTAGAATGTATTAAGAATGGAAACGAAAACAAATTTAATTTGAATTGTAATTCAAAAAATAATAAGAATTACAAAGATAATCTAAAATCTAATAAAACTTATAGAATTTAAACGAATATATTAAATGTAAATACAAAACAATAATTTACAATAGATCGAAATCATACAACATCTGTACATCAAAAGAAATCAGTGTCTTTTCATTAGAAAAAACGACCAAAATCATCTATGGATGATAAGAAAAGAGAATTAGTTATTAAATATTAAAATATAGCAGATAGATATGCTTAATTTAATAGAGATACAAGAGATAATTAAAGTTGTTTAGGTTTGGTATTGGATAGTGAATAAGAAGGTATTTCTTAAATGGATTCAATTCATAAAAGCACTAGAAGATAAAATGTTATTATATCTGAACCATCATTAGATGAAGATGAAGAATAATAAATATTAGAATTGGGAAACTTAGAAAAAGAAATGGCTCAAATTATAAAAGCAGCAATAATCATTTAAAAATTTTGGAGAGGTTATAGAACAAGAAATGAATTATAATATTATTAGAATTTTTTAGATGAAGATGAAATGAAATTGAATTAATTAACACCAAATTTAAATTAGACATAATCTTATTTATAACCTATAAGCTAATTAGAAAAGGAATAAAGTGGATTAAATTCTTCTTAGAAGAGAATTAATAAAAATGGATTCAATACTTTTATTCATAAATTAGATTGGGATGAAGATAAAGAAAGTCAATTTAGTTAATAAAAGGTTTCATCAATTAAGAAATTATCATAATAGAAATCACTTCATAAAATAATCATCTAAAAGTCAAAATAATAATGGCATCTTATGTTAGAATAGATTTCATAACTATAAAGAAAGGGTTCTAAATAAGATATTAAGGAAGTATTATAAGATTTGAAAACATTTACTTTATAAATTGCAAAAGAAATAGATGGAGAAATAAATATAAATAATGTAGAAAAATAATAATAATAACCTTAATAATAATAATAATAATAATAATAATAATAATAATAATAATAATAATAATAATAATAATAATAATAATAATAATAATAATAATAATAATAATAATAATAATAATAATAATAATAATAATAATAATAATAATAATAATAATAATAATAATAATAATAATAATAATAATAATAATAATAATAATAATAATAATAATAATAATAATAATAATAATAATAATAATAATAATAATAATAATAATAATAATAATAATAATAATAATAATAATAATAATAATAATAATAATAATAATAATAATAATAATAATAATAATAATAATAATAATAATAATAATAATAATAATAATAATAATAATAATAATAATAATAATAATAATAATAATAATAATAATAATAATAATAATAATAATAATAATAATAATAATAATAATAATAATAATAATAATAATAATAATAATAATAATAATAATAATAATAATAATAATAATAATAATAATAATAATAATAATAATAATAATAATAATAATAATAATAATAATAATAATAATAATAATAATAATAATAATAATAATAATAATAATAATAATAATAATAATAATAATAATAATAATAATAATAATAATAATAATAATAATAATAATAATAATAATAATAATAATAATAATAATAATAATAATAATAATAATAATAATAATAATAAATAAATGAAATTAGATAAATTATGGGATCAGAAAATTTATTTAAATTATCATAAATTTCATCTCCTGCTAATAAAGATGCTTCTTTATTTGAATAGAATCCATTTTATGATTTTGCATCAAATAAATTTAGAGAGCTTCTCAATCCAGAAAATATGAATAAATTAATAAAAATGAGAGAAATAGCAATTGAAGAAAGACATAAAAATGAAATTGAAAATATTCATTAAGCTTTATAATAAAAGTAAATTAGTTTAAAAACATTTGAAAAATAAAAATTCAAAATTGAAAAATGGGTTACAAAAGAAAAAGAAGACTTTAAATAATAAAAATAAAATATTGAAATTGGATGGAAAGGTTTATATGAATCTTTTATTAGAACTTAAAAAGATTTGCTATTTATGTCTAAATTGAAAAATTAGTAATTAACTTCTTCATTCTCAAGTGAAAAAATAACTAATATAAGATCAATCAAAGAAATCAATTCAGTTTCTTAATCAAAAATAGTTAAAACTAATAATTTTGATACTGTGACTATGAATTTTAGTTCTTCTATTTGTGAATCATAAGATATTAGAAAAGTTCCAAAATCTACTCCTTCTCCATCTCCATATCAATAATAAAAATAAATTTATGAATAATTGGAATGGGATGATGAAATGTTGTACACTAGTGATGTTTTAGATTGTGCTAAAATTCAACAACCTTAAGTCATTAAAGTATCTTCACTTATCCAAAAGTAACCTGAATATGATGATTCTCAAATATAATCATATTGCATTTTAATTGCAAATTCAATAATTGGAAATGAAATTTAAGATATGTATGAAGAATTAAAGATTTATAATAAAGATATCACAAAATCAATAAAATTACAAGAGTTAAAAGGAATCAAATCAAATATTTCATAAGTTAAGATCTATTTAACTAGATTAGAATAATACTTTTTATAATCTGATAAGAAAAACCAATTAATTTAAAGAATAAATACTCCTTTAGGACCAACTCCAAAAGAAATCTTGAAATTTTTCCATTATTATGATGAAGAAGATGATTATTAATCAAGTGAATAAGACTATTCAAATTAAGCTATCTTAACGACAGAATAATATGCATAATTAGAAAATTAACTTATGGAAGAAGAATTAATGTAATCAGATGATGGATTTTTATTGGAATTAGAGCATATTCATAATAAAGTGTTGTTTGATGCACTTAATGAAGCTTTGGATGATTATAGACCATTTGGATTAAATGGTTTTCCCTTGCCCTGGATTAAACAGCCTTTAGAATTAATATAAAGGTAATAAATATTAATAATTATTATAGAAATAAGAAATAAGAAACTCTTTAATAGATTTTATAGGGAGCAATATAATAAGTTATTGATTGGGCATAATTCTTAGTAGGTTTGATAATTGATAAACCAGACTCTCCCTTTCCAAAAATTTTAATGCTTGATTAAGAATACTTAAATTAAATTAAAGAAGAGAGAATGATAAGAATGCTTAATTAAGAAGTATTTATTTTAATAATAATTAATAGATTTATCAAAATGAATAGAGATGGTTAATATATGATGAGGAATAATCTGAAATTTTAGTTGAAATTTCATTAATGGTTTAAGATTAATTAATTGATGAATGTTTAAAAGATCTATTACAGTTTTAATGATTATGAATTTTAATAAATCAAAATTGTTCATAGATTTGGAATTTTAGTTTTATTGAATATATTACCTGATTTTCTTATGAATTATTTTTAGTCTTATGAAAGGGCTTGAAAATCTATAAATGTAGTTAATAAATTGATTGATTATCTCATTTTATAATTTTCATTTTATTTCATGATTTCACCAAAAGAACTATTCAAAATTTCTGAATCTCTTTAATAACTTGATCTATCAGGATGACTTTGTTTTCTCTTTTCTTGATATTTTTCAATATCTGATTTTCGAGGAGCAGACATTGATTATTTCAAATTTTATGATTATTTTACAGATTGTCTTCTTGAACGTTGTGATTATACAGTCTTTAATGTTTTAATTGAATTCTTTTAATACAATGATTTAATATCATTTGTATGAACCGAAAAATCTAATTGAAATTCTTTGCTTTATTTTGATCCTCCAGATTCAGAATTTTTAACACTATTTTTTTTATTATGTTTTTCAATTTCTAAACCAGACAACATTTAATAAGATTTATAATTAGTTTCTGATGTATTTTTAATATGATGTGTAACAAATGCTGAATCTAATACTTCACTAATAAGTAATCTATCCTCTACTTTAATTTCTAACATTCTCTTAATTAATAACTTTAGATCTTATGACAAATCAGGCCATGGATGTTTATCAAAATTGATTTAACATTTTTAATTTAAAACCTATATTTAGCTTGGTTTTCCTCTAAATGGAGGATATCCTGCAGCTAACTAGATATATTTATATTATATTTTACTATATATAATACAACACCTAAACTAAATACATCTCCTTTTTAGGTGTATGGCTATCCTTTAAATATCTCTGGTGGCAAGAAACCTGGAGTACCAGCTTTACTTAATAATTAATCTTCATTAATTTATTCTGCAAACCCAAAATCCACTAATTTCATTTGAAGTGTATCTTTAGATTCTATCATTATATTTTCTAATTTAATATCTCTATGAACAAATCCATTTTAATGTAATTCAAATAGAGCATCTCCAATTCCTTTTAATATATAAGCTATATTTTTCTCAACCAATCTCCCTTTTTATTTAAAGTATTAATAAAGTGTACCACCATCACAATATTCAATTATTATAATTAGTTTTTCCTTCTCTTAATAAACTTCATAGATTTTTTCAATTCCAATATGATCAAATGATTTCAATGCAATTACTTCATTGTAGACCATTTACTAAACTATTATGTAAATGTAATTTTTACTATAAATTTTTCTTAATGTTTATTTTCTTCAAACATCTTTTTTGTTATAGTTTTTGCTGCAAATATTTATTCATCTCTTTTTCTTTATACTTTATAAACTGTTGCAAATGCACCACTTCCAAGAGTCTCAATTTCTGTATATATATGTTCATATCCTTTCATTAAACAAAAATCTTAAAGAGCTTCAAAAAATTATAAAGTTAATTCATTTTGATGATCAAAAATTGTTATTCCTATACCATCTGCTCTTTCTAGATAGACAAGTGGAATTTAAATATTTTTTTTTGTTTTTTAAAATGACAAAATTGCTCTATTATTGTAACTCAATTCTAAATAACCTTTTGGATAATTATCAGATTCCTAATTTATTCATTTTAAATACCTTTTTAAAATACATAAGCATTCCTGAATAAGTTAATTTAAAATAATAACCTTTTACATTCTTTTTCTTTCTCCCTATTCGAAGCATTATGTTTTAGAATGCATAATTATCATATTGCCATTTCTTTTTCATATCTTATTGAGTTTTTCTATTCCAAAAATGTTTAATAGATGCATCTGTTGATACTCTAAAAAATGGCCATTTAACCTCTCCATCAAATTATGGTAATTAGATCTATCCTCTCATTTTTTTTATTTATATTTATTATTAATTATCAACCTTCTTTGATTATTGTATATCTTAGTTCAATTATTATTTCAAATGCTTTGAAAAAGTAGAAGTTCTTGGTATATTTTCAAAGATATTTGCTTAAAATTCTTGATTGATTGTTTTTAAAAGAACAGACTTTTGATTTTCAATAGTATTTACAAAAATAGCATTTTTTAAATTGCTAGATTCATCAAATCTAAATACTTTTTTCATGGCCTTATTAAAATAATAATAAAATAATAATAATACAATAATATATCACTAAAAATTCAATAAAATTTACCTATTTCTTTTTCATTCTTATTTTAAAGTATTTATAATTGATATCTATATAGATCAAATAAACTAATATGATATTAATTTAATATAGTTTTATTAATATAAATTAAAATTCTTAATTATTTTATCAATATTTATTTGTGTTAATATTAATTGTGTAATTTGTATTTAAACAAAACCAAACAAAACAAAAATCCACTAATTTTATTGATATTATTGTAATTATGATAAATTTATTTATTTCAATCTGATTTTTTCCAATTAAGGATTTCTTCAATCATAGCATCTGTGTAATTAACTTTATATCTACTAAATATTTTCTATTTTTAGTAATACTTTATCATACTTATAATTCATCTTTATCCTCTAGACTATTACTTGTTGATGCTTATGGATGTTCATTAGCTTCTTTCATTTTCTTAATTAATTTAGACATCAATTTTTCTAATCATACTTCAAAAATTTACAATCTTCTTTTGAAAAAAATTGTTTCTCATCACCCTTATCCTTATCCTTCAAGACCTTGTTAAATGAAAATCTAGGTTAATATATTGGTATCTTGGCTATACTAATTAATAATTTATTCATATTAATAAGATATATGTTAATTATTATATTAATATTGTGATCATAATTATATTGAGTGTCCTTATCCAGAAGGACTTGCAATCTATACTTTTGATAATATCTAATTATAATAGAAAAGACCTCCTATTATTATTATATAAGCAATTAATGAAAACCAAAAGATTCCAGTAAAATCAATTGTAAAATCATCATAATATTACTTAGAATCATCCCATATACCTAAATTAGAATCTTAAAATCCAATTCTATTATTCTCTTTATCAAAGATTGTTATGTAATTGATTAGAAATGGATCTCCAAAAATCATAAAATTAGAGTTATTCATTAATTATTTATTACTTGAAAGTGTAATCTAACAATAATCATTCTATGGATTTGTGCTTATTATATAACTATAATAAGAAATGTTAAATTTAATTCCATTTGAAATAATGATAACATCAGGAAGGTATTATTTCTAATTCTCATTTGGATTACAAGGACAAAATATTATTCCTAATTGTTTTTTACATACCTTTAGTAATGAACCTAAAACAAGTTCATAAATTTCTTCATTCATCATTATATCAGAAGTACCACTATCTATTATTGCAAATTAAGTTTCATTGAAATTAATAATGTATTATAAAATTTAAGCTTGTTGAACTGGAATAGTCTATAAATAAATATATATATATAATAATATACCCAAAATTCATCATCAGTTGAATTAATCCATTATGTACCATTATTTAGTTTTTACTCTGAAATATTGTAATATATTCTTGATTAGTATGGATTTTGATTTAATTGCATAACAAATATCGAATTATTCATAAGTCCTTACTACTAAGCAAGATCAAATAAATTAGGAACTTTTTTATCATTATTTAACCCCATAACTCCATCACTTTATAAACCATAAATTTCAGCTTCCCTTATAATCAATAAAAGAGGCATATATGAATGAATATTTGATTGTGGTAATCCAACATAATCCTTAACAACACATCCATAAACTTTACCTTTACCATACTAAACTTTTTATATTAATATATACTTATATTTCTACAACATAATCTGTTACTTCCACTGTTTTTGATTCTTCTACAGTAAAGTATTTTGAGTTGTGACAACCAATACATCCAACTGAAGGTACCCACAATTCTCCAGAACCAGTATCATAAATTACTGTAAATTCTTATGGAGGTGTGCCAATTTTAACAACTCCATAATATTGAATGTTTAAGTAATTAGAAAAATTATTCTGAGCTAAATTTTGCCTTCTGAATAAATTTATTGAAGTCCCACATGCATAGTTTAAGAATAAAAAAATAATTATCATTGTTTTATTATTGTTTATTTAGTAAAATATATTATTGTTTTCAAACGTTTCCACATTTATTCAAAAATTGTTGTATAGTCAATTTTTATATCATTAAATAAGAATAAGTTAATAGATTTGATTGATAAGAAATACTATCTATATATATATCATTTTTAACATAATTTATGGAAAAAATATTTGTAAATATATTTATTAAATTTTTACAAATATGATATCTAAATATTTAGATTAATAAATAATAATGAATAAGATGGATATAAGAATATATATGATTATAAATTAGGATAATAGAGTTTGAATTATCTTCAATAACTAAGATATTATAAATGACTGTAAATAATATTAGAATTAATAATCATATACGTTGGGTGATATATCTATGACCTTTGTGCTTAGAGTAGGAATTTAGAGAAGATTTCTATCTTTATTTATAAATTCTAAATAGTTTATTCATTATATTGGATAACTAAAAATTATTAAAATTTAAAGAATTATTTTTTTTGAAAATTGAAATTTGGTTTATTGTAAATTACAAACCATAGCTTTCTATAAATTGTTCGATATCAATAGGAATAATGTATAAATGTTAAAGCACCTATATGATCTAGAAATTTTTCTAATACAGATTGAATTTGAATCTTCATATTTTATATTTTTAATTTTCAACATAATTTTAAATAACCAATATGGAATGGATTTTGTAATAACACATCAGATTTTTCGAATAATTTAGAATTTCTATCTCTATTATGTAATTAAATAATTAGAGAAACTATCACAATGGAGATATCAAATATAAATGATTTATCTGAGCTAATTAAGGAGAAATAGAAAGTATATACATTTCGAAAACTTGAATTAAAAGATGCTAAAGATATCTAATTGCTTATGGCTAAGTCATTCGTTTCTGATAATGAAGGCATGAAAATATTATAAGTAACTGAAGAGGATCTAAACACAGAGTTCAATCTTAAATAATAGTAATATCTTTTTAAGTTATCATTAGTTAATGGATGATTTAAGAGAATTTATCTTTTGGAGCATTTCATGGAAATTAATTAGTATGTGCATGTTTGACTTATGATTTATCATCTAATAATGACTTATATTATGAAGGACCAGAGCCATCTGAAGCTATGTCAGAAATTTAAGAATTAGTAGGCTTCTTGCTTGGCGAATATGCTTATACGAAAAGTATGGAAGATAAAGAAATAGCTTATTTAAGTCATCTGGCAACCAAGGCTGATCCATTTAGCTCTTTCATGTGCTTATTTGTCAGTGGAAGAATGTAGAAAACAAGGTTTCATATAAATGATTTGCAAAGCCTCACATATAGGTACTTAAAAAAGCATCTCAAAAATTTTCAAAAAGTATGAGAAATTTAAGGAAATTAATGAACTTAAAGGATAACCTGTTGATATTGTATCTTTAATAGGAACATTAAGCTAACAATAAATATGAATTATACATTAGAAATTAAAAGATATAAAGAATTTTATTAAATAAAGATTATTCTTTAAGAGAGAGTTTAGAATATTTTGATATTTGATAATAATTTCATAACTAGATTTCAATCCCTTCTTGAATTTATTTTCAAACTTAATTATTTAAATCTTTTATTATTAATATGCTATCGAATTTGCGTATAATAATTTTTCAATACTTAATAAATATTTTATAGAAACATTTCAATAAATATTTTAATTTTATTATTTTATATAAGAATCATATCAAATAAGATTAAGTCTCCTAAAATTAGTTAAGTTAAGATTGGTTTTTAAATAAATTTAATATTAAAACTATACATCCAATTAATTTAATATTGATCTACATATTAAGAAGACTAATAAACATATTAAAATATTTTTATAAAAAAATTAATAATTTGAGAACATAGAAATGCATATATCTTTAAAACTACATTTAATCATTTTATTAAATATGCTTAATGACGATTGATAAACGAATAAAATTAGATTTTATATTCTTTTTCGAAGTTGATTGAGAATTTGTAGTGTTTAGGAATATTTTAAGTATATCTATATTAGTAATATCTTATATATTAAATTGAATTCTAATAATATTTAACAATACTTAATATATTAGATTATTCATGATAATCTATATCTTATATGGTAATGAATAATTGTGTAATTTTTAGTGGATATCTTCTATTAATTTATATAAATTAATTATATGTTTGAAAAATGTTTAAATTTAAATAGGAACAATATATGAACTAATAGTTTAAATTGTATTTTCATGTAAAACTAAGATTTTATTTAAATAGATATTGGGTTAGAATATTTAATAGATGTGATTGCAATTTAATTAAAAAGTTAGTTAGAAGGATTGAAATGATAGATATTTTAAGCTGTTTTAGAGATAACAGTATTTGGAAATTACAGTGGCAATGAAAAAAAGAATTTATATTCATTTAAATTTTGTAATGAGTTCTCTTGGCGCAAGTGTTAATTTTGGAGGCTCCTTATTTATGTTAAATTTATCTGCATATTTATTTAATAGTTCTTGATCCAGATTACCAAAGCGATTAATTGCATCCTCTTTCATACGTCCATATTTCAATTCTATCTTAGTTTTTCTAAGATCATCTTCATTTTGAAAGAATTCATTTGATGTTATATGAGGCTAGCATAATAATCAATTGTTTTACTTACTCGGTTTATTTTACGTTGGTTAAAATCTTTACTCATAGTTAAGTTTTAGACAGGGGATCTTTCAAGTAGTTTTTTGTTGTTGATCTTCTTATCTGTTTTAATACGAAAATTGTTATTTTAAAGAATTGGAGCTTTAAGTGCCTATTATTCAGGTTATTAGTTATCCCATTCATCTTCATTAATCTCTAACACTCTGAAGTTGCCTCCTCTGAAATATTATTATAAAGTGATTCCATTAATTCTTTGAGCTTGACTTGACTCCTATCTTTAATGACTCTGTGACACTAATCTTCGCTTTTCCATCCTTGAGCACTTCGATGTTTCTGGACGCATGCCTTATTCTTCCATTTTTTAATTAATATTATTATATTATCATTCATGATATACACATCTTCTTCATATTAACAATATACTTTTATTGTCAATTTTAAGATTAAATAATCTATTAATCATACACTCCTTACCATCACATAAGAATACTTTAGATATTGACAGTTATTTATTGAAATTCCAAATAGAAAACTAAATAAGTTCATAAATACAAGATACCAAAATTTTGATAATTGAAATTATTTTCTTTCTAAATCTTAATGATATTTTCATAAAACAAATGGATATATAAGTGATCATTATTTAGTAAATTAATTTTAATAATTGAAATTGAATGGAAATAATAAATATTATAAGAAATCATAAAAACGTATGAATCATTTTTACTGAAATGTGCTTAAACCTTTGATATGGCTCTGAAAATAATAATCAATTAAATATAAACTAAATTTTCTTTAATTTTTCTTACACAATTATCTAAAGAATTAAGTAATTATACAATTTCATATAAAAAAAATGTATAAAATCTTTAGAAATCTTAAATTTAATATATAAGAATTCTACGGATTTAAGTTTAGATAAAATATCATTTTTTTTTAATTCAAAAAATTTTATCAAATTCATAATAAATAGATAAACATACTGAAGATTAGAAAAAATAATTCATAATCTAAATCTAAATCATTTTTATTTTATGATAATCTTTCTAATTACTCTTAAATTTGAATATTTTATTTAAATATTCTCAATAGGTCTAAATTATTGAAATATAAAACTTAAGACTTTGGTTTTTTATTAAAATTTTATAGATCACTTTAATAAATATAGATTATAATATAATATAGTAACAACATTAAATAATTAAAATATTATCAGTTGTCATCATCATCACTACTAACTAATTATGAAGCTGCTCCCTCTTCTTCATCAGGAATCTTATGTTAAATAACATTAAATACTATTAAATTTCGATTGACTTAATGTAATATTGGAATTGTTTTATAGATCTCTTTTTGCCAAGCATATCTTAAAATATCAAAATTAAATTTACAATTATTGAAAGATTAATTTTTCATCCTCTCCGTTGAGTTTTGGAAATACTGTTTGAGTTAAAGGAAAATCTGTCAATTTATATTCCTAATATTTTTATTATATTGTTTACATGAATATCAACATCATAAACTGATTGAGCTGCCATCATTTTCTCATACATACCCAATTTAGTTCTATTCAAAGTATTTTAAACTTATTATAATCTTTCTTCAATTTATTTAGATATTTAAGTGCCTTCTTAATCAATTTTTTTCATAGATGGAAATATATTATTCTTATTATCTGAAGTTGATTGTTCTTATTTTTTTGTATTAGAGCTCTATTATTTTTAATCTTTTTATCCAACTTATTATTATTATTGATTTTTATTTTGAGATTGATTCTAATTTTAATTTGTTATCTGTGTAACACTATTTTTCATTTCTTAATTTGATTATGGAAGTTGTGCTTAAGAATTTGGTTTATTATCAAATGAATGATCTTGTATTTAAGGTAATGAATCTTAATTATTTTATTGAGAAGGGATGGATTATGGAGTTTTAAAGGATTTTTAGACACTATAATGACTATGCTATTTTTATCTTTCATCCTAATTGGGAGTAGCCATATGTTATTATTATGGAGATTTTATATTTTAAGATTGAATCTATTATAAATCTTTTTTACTCTATTATTATTATAATAATTATTATTAATTATTATTTAATTACTATTAAAGATTATTAAGTTATGATGAATATTATTATTATTAAGAAAGATCATTTGGTTATTATGTATATTTCTAATTAATCATTTACATTTATTATTCAAGTTTTTCTCTTTAAAATTATAAAAATTACTCTTATTGTCTTTATTAAGAAACAATATTAGGAAGTTAAGGTTTCTTTACATTAATTTTAACTTCTTATTACCAAAATTCTTAAGGATTATATTAATAATTAGGATCTCGTTTTTATTATATGATTTATTCAACTCTTTAAATTTTATTTCTATCTTCAACTTCTTATTCACTAGCATAATCTAAATCTTCTCCTTCACTTTAATCAAATTGATGTGATTATCTTCTAGAAACTTATCTTGGTTTAAACATATCATCAAATTAATTATGTAATTTTTATCTTCTAAATCTATCTTCACTATCAGAATCTGTTTTCTCATATTCAAAATCTCCTCCCTTTTCTCTTTTGATTCTTTCAATATCTTCATGTAAACGTTAAATCTCTTTCTTTCTTTTTTTCTATTCTTCCCTTTCAGCTTTAGTCATATGTTTTTTATGTGGTTTTTTTAATTCCTCTGTAATTTCTTAAATTGTCTATCTTATTTCCTCTTCATGAATTGGTTCAATCTATTAAATTGTTGGTTATCTTTATTCTCTTTATTAATTTTGATTATTAGGTTCATTTAATTGTTAAATAACATCTGATTCTTATCTTTATAAAGTTGAGGGTCTTTAAACTCTGATAGATTACTTTTTAGTTAATTTTTTAGGATCTTTTTGTTTAACAGTTTTTTTGGATTATTTCATATCATTTACTCTATCATCATCCTCATCAATATCATCTATTTTATTTTATTATTATTCTTAATTATGATTATTTGAATTATTATGATGATGATGATGTTTATGTTCTTATTCATTAATATCTGATTAAGATTCTCTATAAGATGATAATGAATCTTAGCTTTATTGAATAGATTGAATAATTTAATCAGCTAAAGAATCAAATTATTATTCTAAATATTCTCTTTACTTTTTCTCATTTACTTAATAGTAATCATTAAAATCACTCATTTAGACTTAATAATGATCTGGAACTTTGATTTTGAAAGCCTTGGTTTTGATCTTCTTAACAATTTCACGGTATTGTTATGTCATTATCTACATTCTGTGTTATATAAATGAAAAGAGCAAAATTACTTTAAGTCATAATCGATATGTTCATCATTTAGGTATTTTTCCATAAACTTGAGTAAACGATTCTGTATACTTTCATTGGGAATGACTTGTTTACTTAATGATTTAGTACTGTCCATCAATCTTACTTCTATTCCTACATCAGACACTTAAAATATAGTGAAATTAATAATTACATTCTGGTCTGTAATTGTATTTATTTAAACATAATGATCGATTTAACAATTCTTCTTACTGTGTATGTAGAATGGTTTACAAAGTTTCATATTCTTTAGTATATCCTGGTGGTTTGATATCAGAATAATATTATTTATTATTCTTAGAATTTGGCACTTTTTTCAAATAAGCAGTCACTTTTCTCTGAAAATCAGTTAAAAGTACTTTTGCTTACATTTCATTTAATTTATTAGTATTACCACTCAAACTAAAGAAATATTTGATAAAATGATTACAAAAATACAGGAGATTTAGTTAGATTATTGTATTCCTTTAAATTATATATGGAAGTATGATGATAAAAATTTTTGCCTTCATCCTTCTTTAATGTATGTAACTACAATATCATCTAAATTACATACACTTAATAACTTCAATTTGCTGGTCGGTTTCCTAATTCTGCTTGAACTTTGTTAATCTTAACTTATAAATGTTATTAAGACTATAATACTTTGAATAATTATCCAAATGAAGTAGATTTAGATTCTTTGCATAACGAAACCGCTATCCTGGTAATGGTAGTATGTCACAAGAGTACATTTAATTAATTAATTAATTTATTAAATGCTATTTGTCACAGAGCCAAAATTCATCAATATTTCCCATCCTCGCAAACTCCTCTCCCTTATATAAGAATATGAACTTAAATTTCGTCCTGATTCTCCTATAACACAAAAAGCCATGGAAAGTATGGGATAAGATCGTTATCACTTTCGTCGAAAGTTTCATTTGTGATCTGACTCATCTAGGAATAAGTTCGAGTTGCGTTATGATTTTGAGATCCAAAAAATTCCATATACAGAAGCAGATATGTAGAAAGCCTATCTAAATTACATGAGATAATTGATCAGTATTCATAATATATAAGAATAGTCGATTATCAGACACTATTTGATACTAGGAAACGAATTAAAGTTGATTTTGAAAGAAGATAAAGAGAAGAAGATGAACTTAGAGGCTAGTATATACATATTTCAAATTTAGTAAGTGGCCAGAACCTGTAGTAACCAAAAAGTTAATGAATACTCAAATTGAAACTCTTACTTTAGATTAAAAATTATAATTAATTGAAGAAGAAAGAAGTAAAGAACAAAAAATTAATGATTGTTTTGCTAAAGAAGCTATTATGTAGGAATTGGACAGAAGACTCAAATTATAAGAAAATTAATAAAGGGAAGAGAGAAGACTTGTTTCACGTAAAGAGACATTTGATAAACTTAAAAAGAAGGCAGCTTCAGAAAATAAAAAAGTTAATGAGAAATTATAAAATCATTAATAAAAAATGAGAAAATAATTAGAATAAGATTTTCGTACTTCAAAATCTATATAAGAAAAAATAGAAGCTAAGTATAATATTATATATATATTTTTTAGAGAATTATCAATTCAATAAAAAAGAAGTAAAATGATATCTGAGATAGCATCTCGTAATCGTAAATTAGAAGATAAAATTAATCATTTTAAAGATGATTTTGGTAATCGTTTGATGGAAGATTTAATGAGAAAATAACATGCTTTAGAATTATCAATGAATAAACGATAGAAAACTGCAGAATAATTAGAAAAAAATAGGTTAGAAAAATAATAGTTTTTTGAATAGAAATTAAATAATATTAATCTAAAAATTAAATAAGAAAGAGAAGAAAAGGAATCTGAATTATTTAATAAAGTTGGTTAGAAATTATCAAAATCAGAAAAATTGTTAGAAGAACATGATAAATTAGTATTGAAAATGTAATAAGATAAAAAGAAAGAACAATAATCTAGATTTTCAAAGTAAAGAGAAAGATATAAGTAATCAGAAGAAAAATAATAAGAAAAAATTGAAGAATGGGATGAAAAATTAAAAAGTATTTCAGATAAAATTGAAAAGTTTTAAACTAAAAAAAGTGAAGAATGGAAATCTCTCAAAGAATAAAAGATATAAAATTAAAAAGAACATTTAGAAATGATTCAATATATGAAAAAAAAGAAAGAAGTAATTAATAATATTAAAAACTTAAGGATAAAAATTAAAAGTAATATATAGATAGATAAATTATGGTTTAAAATAAACTTAAAAAGATGAAAGATGAATAAGAATACATAAGAACTTATCAAACTGCTTCTAAATAGAGATTTGAATAGAATACTTTATCTTAAATAGGAGAGTTAGTAAATTTGAAATATTCCTCATCTGCTAAATTGCTCAAGTATATTTTTATTATTATATATAATTAGTAAATTGAAAGATTTAGAAGATGATGAAGCATTTAATGATATTCAATAAAAATATAAATAAATTGTCAAAGTTCCAGAAAAAAAACCTGTAGAATGATCAATGTTATTCATTTCTTTATAACTATAAAATAAGTTTTATAACAAACATAAAATAACAAAATTAAAGTTTATTAAAAAAATTCAATCTCATATTATAATAATTTATATTAATAATGATAAGAGATATATTTGTAAATCTATATTTAAAGTAGGATGTATTCTTAAATCAGAATAAAATATCGATATAAATATTATTAATGATTATGAATAGAAAATACATGATTAATAATGAATAGTTTTTTTAATTAAACATATTAAAATTAATATCAAGCATAGGTATAGTCAGTTTTGATAGTATCAAATAATTTGTCAATTTAGGCTTTCAACACATTAGCTAATTGTCTATTGCACTTGGACATCTATTCAATTAATCATTAAGGCAGTACTTATTGAATAGTTCTATTAATTTATTAACGTTAATTATCTAATTAAATAACTTTAGTTTTATGTTTATTGGAATCACATTTTTGATGGTGTTTATTCTTATTACTCAAATTTTAATTGTTTTCCTTATTCCAATCAATATTATGAACATTTGGTTTAATCATTTCATAATGCTATGCAACAGAATTAATTGAATTGATGGTAGCTCTACTACCATCTAAATTATCTTCAAAATTAAGATGTTAAGGGATTATGACATCTCTATGAGATTAACTAATATTTTTAATGAATTCTTCTGATTTACGATGGCAACTTTCATCAGTTCGTTATTTTTCAAGTTTCATAACATTCCTCCTTATTTAATACATCTCATGTAAGGGACTTCTTATCTCTGTACTAGATTTTCTGCCTTCTTCAGTAATTGAATGAGTTTGTAATCGTTGTTACATAATTAATATATTTTTGAAATATTATTGATAAAAGTGAAAGTTTATTAATTTATAAATATATATATATATAAATATTTTGTTTGTAAATGTCTAAATTGAAAAGCCAAGTAAAAATGATGATTTATATAAAAGTCTGTTTCCAATTAAGCTTTATGCAATGATACTTCAATTTAGTAATAGAACCATCAATAAATAAAGCAAGAGAACCAATATAATTTGAGTAGCACAGATTGTAAAAGGTAGAAATCCTTTTTAGGAGATCGATTTGTTACATAATTAAAGAAGAATTTTACTATCATTTAGGAAAACTAATTGGAGAATCAAGACATTGCATCAAGTTAAATGGCATTAGAGATGCTCTATAAATAGTAAATACTAGAATAGGAACCTATTTTCGAGTTAGATTCAATGTAATTTATCAATCAAAGTGGATTTTAATACAATCAATAGAATAATTTCAACATCCATAACTCTAAAATTTATAATAGGTAGATGCAATAATTAATAATATAACTAGTATTCTTATAGATCATAAGTATTTTACAATACCTGAAACACTCTCTAATTATTATGGTAAGTATGTAAGAAAAATACAGAAAGTTCCATTTAAAGTTCTTGATGCACCATAACTTTAAGATGATTTTTATTTGAATCTAATAGATTGGAGTAACTAGAATACATTATCTGTAGCTTTGAATTCTTGCGTATACTTATGGTATGAGTGAGTATTAATAATTTCAGGAATGCATAATCTTCGAAAGTTACAAAATTGTTGGATCTCCATAATGATTAAGTTACAAGTGTTGCATGGTCACTATAAGGATCTCATTTGGCTGTTGGAACTAAGATAGGAGAAGTCTAAATTTGGGATGCTATAAAATTATCAAGAGTTCGCACTTATAAAGGACATATAGCAAGAGTAGGGACATTGTGTTTTTCAGATAATGTGTTAAGTAGTGGTTCAAGAGATAAACTAATATTATAAAGAGATTTAAGATTGAAGGGAAATTACTTTCAGAAACAGTCTGCTCATAAATAAGAAGTTTGTGGTTTGAAATGGTCACCTGATGGATAAATGTTGGCTTCAGGAGGAAATGATAATAAACTTTATCTTTGGTCTTCAAATAAATAAGATAAACCAATATTTAGATTGTCTGAACATTAGGCTGCAGTTAAGGCTATTGCATGGAGTCCTCATTAACATGGATTATTGGCTAGTGGAGGAGGAACAGCCGATAAAACTATTAGATTTTGGAATGCACTAGAAGGAAAATCATTATAAAAAGAAGATACTGGAAGTCAAGTATGTAATCTCATGTTTAGTAAAATTGAAAATGAACTTATTTCTACTCATGGATATAGTCAAAATTAAATAGTTCTATGGAAATGTAACAATATGAAAAGGATATCTACATTAGTTGGACATACATGCAGGTATTATATACATTAATAAATAGAGTACTTTATTTAGCTATGTCTCCTGATGGATCAACAATAGTTACTGGAGCAGGAGATGAAACATTACGCTTTTGGAATTTATATCCTTAAATTAATCAAAATTATAATTAGTCTAATTGTTCTTTGCATATTCCAACTATTCGATGATAATTTGAAATATTCTACTTAATATTTTTATAAATTTATTTATTATTTTTATAATTAATTAATTGATCTAATAATTAAGATAAATATTAGAGTGAATATATTATAAAATTAGATTGATAATATTGATAGATATTTATAAATAATTTACTATTAATATCCCTTATATAGAGTTTAAGGATTATTTCTTAAAAAATTCTATAGATTAGGTAATAATATAATAACACTCTAATATCAATTAATACAGACTTTAAATTAAAAGTCGAATTGTGGATTAGTATTATCACTAAGATTGTTTAAATTTAATGAATACTTTCAACTAATTTTCAGATTCTAATTATTGGAATTCTACTATTAGAAATCACCCTATGATATGTATTTATCATAATCATTTTATTTTGCTTTATTAAATAATAACCATAGAGAAATTAAAATCATTGTTATCAAAATCTATAGATAAAATTAGAGATTTGAAATTAAAATAATTGATTATAGGAAGAATTAAAAAAGTAGTTAAGGAATAATTATAGAATAAGGTCAGGAAAAAAAAGGATGCATCATGCCTGCATTGAAAGAGAAGTGCTAGATATTTGAGACATAAGGGAATCATTAAATTATTTAATTGATTTGAGGAATAAAACAAATGGCATTATTATTTATTTTAGAGTATTTGCATTAAAATGGTTTATTCCATAAAGATATAAAGCCAGAGAATATACTAACTGAAGACAAAAATCTAAATTTAATAGATTTTGAAACAGTAATTGTTTATGATAAAGAAAAAATAAGTATGGGGGGCTTAATTGAAATAAATGTTAATTCAATACTAATGGTATAACTATATAAAGATTCTGACTATAATTATGATAGCTTAAAGAACATCACTTTTTCATAAGAATAAACTTCATAAATATTTAATTACAAGATGTTCCTTAAACAAGTATTATTACATAGAAGAGGATATTGAGTAGATATTAGACTACTATGCTCGAAAAATGGTAAGAGAGAACTGATCGAATAGTTTTAAAGGGTTATATGTTGATAAATAACATGATTGAATATTTATGACATAGTTATCTATAAGATATATGTACCATATTTTAATTACATTAATCCATAATTAAATAATAAATTGGTATTAAATATTTTAGACATTTATTCCTTTAAACTAATTCACTTCTTATAAATTATTAGGCAAGGTGAAATTCATTTTGGGGATATAAAAATAAGAAAAAGTACATTTTTTAAGAAAGGGAGCATGATATAATAACTTAGTAATGGGTGAATATTACGAACATATATATAAATCTTTAATAATTTCTGATTTATTTGAAAATAGCTATATTTATATATATTAATAGTATATCATTTGTGAATTCAAAAACTATTTGTTTATTAGGCCATTACCTATTATTATATATCCAATAATATTGCAGTCTAAAATATCTAATTAAATCTTTTAAATTAGGTAACTTTAATTGAATATTTTTATAGTCCAAAATATCCAAACCTGACTGAAGTTATATCTTAAGAATAATTTTTGATTAATTCTCATAAAAATGATTAAATTAGTTCTTTCATAATCGTATTCACAAGTTTTAATTATTTTATTAGAAAACAATTAGATTTGATGTTAGATGTCTTAAAAAAATAGAAATATATTATTTTAATTAAAAAGAAATTTCTTTTTGTGTTAGATTTTAATTATAAATTTATAGTTAAGAGATGTATGAAATAGTTTAATATATTAGAGTATGAAGTTTATTGTTATTGAGAATAGACATAGATACATAAATAATTTGTTATAAAATATAAATTGAAATACATATTTAATAATTTAAATATCAAATAATATTGTTGAATTCTATCATCTGTAAATTAAAAAAAAATGAAAGTACAAAAATATATCTCTTTTTTATTGAAATAGATTTTGATGATGGTGTTATTTAGATTTTTAATTGATAAATTTTATATAAATGAATATAGTTACGTTATTATAAAAGTAAGAGAGAACAAAGAAAGATGTGTAAGCATTGATGGAGTGTTTAGGATAAGTAAAGTATTTAAACTAATTGAATAATGGTCAAAAGTTATATTAAGCAACATTGAGAGGATTTGCTGAGAAAGCAACACTAATTCGATATGAAAAAGGTAAGCTATTGATTGATTAATGAAGAATAGGACACATTATTTGGAGGGATGGGATTAAATAAGAAAAACTATTTATAATATTGAATGGAAGAGTGTAGGAATATGTATAATTAGATGATGAGGAAATTAATAAGAAGAGAAGAGATCTAATTCAACGTTATCCTGAGTGTTAAAATCTATTCATAAATAAGCCAGGAAGAAGAATAGTGTATGAATATGAGAGTGAATCAACTGATTTAATTAAAGCTTCAATTAATGATAATATGAGAAGAAGAAGAAGTCTTGTATTTGATATCCCTTCTATGGTTGATGTACCACTCATAAGGAGTTCATCTGTAATTTAGAAGAATGTATAACCATTCTCAACAATTACAATAAATGAAGTATGCAATATTGTATAATATATTTTAGGCTCCATTATCATATATGTTAGTATTGAGCAGAGATGTAAGAGAATGTTTAAGAGAAGTTAAGTTGATAAATGATTATCATTTATAATACTTCATTTAAGAATTTGTTTTAGCAGTAAGATAAGGTAGAATGTTTTCACATGGAGATTTGTTGAACTCTGATATCTCTAAGAAAAAGTTTGATAATACTTTATTATGTCTTGAAGACACAATGATTATGTAAATTGGCTTAGAAGATTATCATAATATTGAAATTCATTTGAATTAAAGAAAATAATAGAAAATTTGGGATTTAATTTATTCTGGGTTGTTTGGAAAAAGTAAAGTCAATTAGGAAGATGTAAATTAAATTATGAAAGTGTTGGTCAATAAATATACTTCTAAAAAGTACACATAATACAACATAGTCTATATTCAAGGGGAAGTTTAAAAATTCATATACATTGTTAAAGAAGGAGAATTTCAATTATCTTTTGATAATTAAGAAAGTGTATTACAATCTACTACGGTGATTGCAAAGATAAGTTAAGGATGTTTATTAGGTGAAGAATCCTATACAGCAAATCGACATATTTTTAAATGTAATAGTATATCTTCAAAGAATAAATTAATTGGTTTAAGTATTCATGATTTAGAAGCTTTGGGACATAGATTTGTTTGGTTTAGAGACTTATTGAAGAATAAGGAGAGAATTAAATAATAATGGTTGAAGACAAGAATGAATGAAAATGTAAATTTTAGTATTAAGTTAAATGAAAAATAATAAACTTTTGAAGAAGAAAAAAGATTGTTATCTGAATTCATTATGCCTGATCCAGCAATTCAAATAACATAATTTTAAAGATTGTAACCTAGTCGTCCTTAGATGGTTACACCTTCACCATTAAAACGACCTAAATTAATTAAAAATAATAATTAGAGGAATATTAATACTAGTAGAAATAATAGCAAGGGGAGTACTAAGAAATTAGAGAATTTGAATATATTTGGAAATGAAATCTTATGTGAATTAGGTATTGGTAAAATAGCTACTTAAAATACTAAGATTAGTAGTTTTGAACCAACAGATCATTCACTAACTTATAGAGATACTAGCAGACTCTTACTTAAGAAAATTAGGAGAGCATCAAATTATAATTCATCTTAACCAGTTTCTCATAGAGATAATAGTACTATGACTAATGAAATTGATATTGTTCCTATGATGATGAATATGAGTAAGAATTAATTACAATTCTTAAAAACTATGGTAGGTAAGTTTAATTATAAGAATTCTCATCCTACTGAGTGTCTAAATTAATAAAGTACTCCTGTTTTCATACAAAGCATTTATCCCAAAAAGATTGTAAGAAGAACATGGTAAGGGTATGATTGAAACTTCATTAAAAAATGTTCAATATATTCCAAACTACTCTAATAATTTATTTAAGTAATCCAAATGTTTATTCTTTCTTATTTCATATACAAACCAATTCACTTTCTTATCTCAGACATACCAATTCTCTTTTTTGAATAATTAATATGTAAGATAAATCTAATACTAATTCAAGTGTCATTGAGTCTTAATCACCCAAGAAAGGAGTTGAAAGCTTTGAATAACAGAAAAGAAGACGAACACGTAAGGTCAGCGATGCTCTTCGTGAATATAAGTGTGAGTGTGGAAAGTCTTACTTGAGTTATCCAGCCTTGTACACTCACAACAAATAAAAACACAATGGGGTTTTCAAATGACATAATACTGTAGTAATCTCTAAAGAACCTAGATGAACAAAGATAAGAGTCGACGTTTTCGGAGTCTCAGACTCAATACATCTTCGCTACTCTTGCAAATGCCTTAGGTAAGTAAGAAGACCAACAACAGACTTCTCTTACAGTCTAAGATATGTATGATCTCATTATGTGGGAAATCTAGTTATATATGATGGAATCTGATTCCAAAGAGTTTCGATTAGACTATTATCATGAATTATTGAAATAAAGTTCTCCTGTTGAAGTCTCCACTCCTCAGCATGCCTTTATCAAGTTCATTCATGAAGTCAAAGAATTCCTTACTTTTGAGTAAATGAAATTAGTCTTTCTTTTTGTGTATACCTTCAGACGATTACTTTAAGAGAATCCAGATTGTACTACAAATAATTTGGTTGAGAAGGCTAACCAGTTGATTTGTTCTCAATTAGAATAGGTTTTAAAAAGCATCTAATAACTTTCAGAGCGACATTAAATTGTACATATAAGTAGAATGGGGAATCTGCGAGAAACAATGATCTAAATTGTGCTAAGCTTTTGTAATTGGCTCTATGCTCGTAATTTGACTGATGACAAGTTATCTCTAAAGAGTGATTCGGATTGATTTTTTTATATCTATATAAGCAATCATTCTTTGGAACTAGTCTCTTGTTTGGTTAATATAATCTTATTAGGATCAAAAGGCCATCTATCAATTAGTTGCTATGGTTTGTCTAAGTAACTACCGTCACCAAAATTGACTTTTAATCCATACAATTTACCCTAAAAAAGATAATTAAACAATAAAGATACCCAAAATGAAGGATGTCCTATGTCATTTACTAAATGCAAATAAAGTTTATTTGGAATCATATGTGTTGCTTCTATTGTATGTTCTTGTATTCCAGCTGGTTGTAAAACATAAGCCCTTACTTCATGTTAATGGTAACCAAAATATACAAATGTCCATTGATAAGGCTTAACATTAAATGTATGTTATAAGGATTCAAATGAAGGATCCTTTATAGTATAGGTTGCAGCCATTAACTCATTAACCTTTGTAAAGAATGCTAACGTTCTATCTCCAATAAATTAATTGTCCTAACCTACTTCTTCATTATTGGAAGTCAATCTTAATAGCCCTCTGAATTCATCTTCCATTTCTGGTAAAAGTGGAGCATTTTAGTACCAAAATCCAATACTATAACTGAGCATTTCTTATTTATCATCAAATTCATATCTAAGTTCACTCTTTTTTTCATCTAAATCATCCCAATTAGTAGTATCCAACATTTTGACTGGCCATCCAAATCCTTCAGATGACTATGAACTTATAGGGACTTTGCGATGTAATTTCTGAACCATCTCTAATATTGTATCAGGATTATTTAAGAAAGCACCAACACCCAAAAAAACTCTTGGATCATATATCCATCCATGGAATGATTTATAACCAAATTCATTTGCTGCTAGAACCAAGTTAGCATGTCCAGTAAATACAAAATGAGTTACATCTAATTTTACTTATTCAACATGTTGTCTATCTCTAAAAATAATCAATCCATAAAATTATTTATTTTTATAACTTGCATATATGTAATTCCATTCTCCTTCTAAATTTTCATAATTAACTTTTGCATCAACAGCATTACTTGGAGCTGATACATCATAAGTACTGAATTCATAAAATCCTTTTTTAAGGAATGCAGATAATGCTCTATTTCCTAAATCTGCCTTATCCTAGTATTCTAAAGTCTATGAAAGACGGAAGATAGTATGAGTATCTGATCTTTCAGTCAAAGTAGTTGGAAAAGCTATTAACCATCTAGTCCACATACCAACAGCATATTCATCTACAGATTCAACTTCTTTATTGAAAGTTTATTCAAATTTATTATCAATTTTCTTATCTTCTTTCATAAACCACATATTTTTTTGATTCTTAATAATATATCTTAAATTTGGCATTGTTTCTTCATTATAAGTATGAGATCCAGATCCAAATAATAATTCCCATTTGTGTTATTCTCCTTAAAATTTCCTGCTAAATGAATCTTTACCCAAATATATAAACATATTATTTGCAACAAAATGCTATACATCTTTAAAAACAATAGGAACATCTTTCTCAAATAATTTTATTAATGTTGCAACTTCTCTCTTATCTTCACTATAACTCATATAAAAGTATGTCCAAGCTCTCTTTGAATTACCCATTTCTGCTTTTGCCTCCAAAAACTTAGCTTCATTCCAATCTTTCAATCCTAAAATGCTATAAGTACTAACCTTAACTGTATCACTTGTACAAACTTAAGCATACAAAGTTCTATCTCCTTATTATTTCCTATCAGACAAATGTTCATCATTATTGTTGGTCAATCTGAATAAGATTTGACATGGAGAATTAATTTCACCTTCAATTTTAGTTTGTACTTCAGCAATCTTAAACCATCCACTTATAGCATATTCTCCTATTCCTTATATTTAAGTTAATTCTTGTGTTTTATATTATTCTAATTCTATTTATCCCTTCTTCTACTTTTGAATATATCCTACAGTTAATTCTAATGGCAAAGCATAACTTGATTCTATTGATTTTAGTAATTATTCTTCATCATCTACATAGGCTTCTTTACCAAGATGGGCTGAAATCTGACTAAATAATCCATGAAATCCTGCAACATTCTTCTCTCCACCTAATATTAATTTAATCCATTCATTTAATGGTCTCTACAATAATTATTCATTCTTTGTTTTTTTGATATTTTCTCCATCATAAACATAATAAATAGCTTCCTAAATTGATCTCTTGTATCCAGCATAGATATAATGCCATTTACCTTCTAAAGATGAATAAGATATTGTAGATATTTCATTTGGAGCATCTTCACTTATATCATATGCACCAAATTAAAAGTTATCATATACCAAATATGCACTCAATACTCTATCACCAATAACAATCTTGCCATTTTCCAATTCTTCATTCGAAGTCAATCTGAAGATTTACATTTCACTTGGTATATTCCATAATCTTGATGGCCAAGCCTACAAGAAACGAATCCATAACCCAATAGAATATTCTTAAATACTCTCAATCTTTTAATTTGGTTCAGCAATTCTTATTGTTACACCTTATTTATTAGTATCTTAGGAATCTAGTACCAACTCATCTTCTTCATAATCCCATTATAATTTTGCATTTGGATTGAATAATTTTGGAGACTATAAATAAACCATCAAACCTTTGAAATTATCCTTTCTAAATGCACCAGTTCCAAAATTCAATACAACTTAAGCTAAACGACTATCATAAGAATTCAAGAGAGCATCTTTGGCCAAATAGAACCAATAATTAGATGATACTGCATGTAAAGCAGATTCTAAAGCATGTTACTCATTATCTTCAGTATTAATATAATAAACTATTTATTAGTTCTCTTTTGAATATGCAAAATATGCAAATGTCCACACTTCCTAATTCTATTTTGCAATCTAAACTGGATATGCATTATTTAATTAAACTGTCTTATCACCCAAACTATAAGTACTGAATTCTAAACCTTCTGTATGACATAATACTAAAGTCCTATCACCTATCTTTTATGCATCTCCTAGAATATCTGCTCCATTTGTTGTCAATCTATACATCAATTATGTACTCTTTTAACTCTTAAACCATCTAAACCACAATTATACTCCATATTCTCTTACTTCTTGATTAAATGTAGTTAAATGATGTTTTTCATCAAGTTTTCTTACATCATGTATACCAGATAAAATTTCAATATTCTTACTTACTTATTCAATATCTGGAATAGTATCTTTAGTCTTTATTCTAGATAACAAATCAACTTTATTTTCAATAAAAGATCCTGGACCCAAATTAATTCTAACTTTGGTTATTTATCCATTGAAATTAGCATAATATTTGCCAGCATGACCAACAGAAAAGTATAAATAGTTTGTTAATAAAGAATGTAATACATCCATTTTTAATCCTTCAGTGTGTTCTCTAAATTAAGTAAAAGCTATAGCATGTCCCTCCTATTAAGTATGTCTCTTATAACTAAAATAAAGATATTGCCATTCTCCTTCACTCTCTCTTTTGTATTCTAAATCACCTCCAACATTATTTGCTTTTGTTATAACATCATAAGTGCCAAAAGTGAAAGCCTTTCTACCCATCACTATCAATAGAACTCTATCCCCTGGATTATCAAAATCTTTATAATCTCTATTACTAGTTAATCTTGCAACTCCCATAAGTTGAGGTTATGAGAAAATCTTCTATTTAGATCCTAAATATTGATATCTCAACCAAAAACCATATCCATATTCTGATACTCCATGTAATTAGAGAGTTGAACTTTATTCAAAATGAATTTGCATAGGAGGTTCTTCTTCTTTTGTTGCACACTCTAAAATCTTTTCTTCATGATGAGCCTCCTAACCTGCTTATTTTATATGATCAGCTCCACTAATAAATCCAAAATGTATTTTGATATTTTCATCTTCTTCAAAGTTACCCTCTCTATAAGCTCCAAAACCTACATTAACTACCCATGTTTTCATTTACCCAATAAAATCTACATATGACTACCTTCCATGACCAACCATAATACTAAATACAGCTAAATAGAAATGTTAAATATTTTCTTATGTAAACTCTGCATCAGAAAAAGCAAATCTTGCATAACCATATGTTTTTAATTATTATTTTGAATATCCATAATATATATAAGTCCATTGATCAGCATATTCATGGAATTCTTATTCAGCAGGAATCAATTTTCCATTATTAGTATAAGTAATAAATCTGTATAGAGAATCTCCTCTTATAATTTATAAGGTTTCTTCTTTGTTTCCATCAATATCCAACAATCTCTTTTAAGACAATGTTATCACATGTGATTCCTTACCAGTTACAAGTGGACCAGCCCATCTAACCCAACCAGAAACTGAGTATTCTTCTGCACCTTAATATTTATCAAATTCAAATTAAATTGGATCCTCAGCTATTGTAATTGCAGATCCAAATAATTATAAAGTCTATCTAGTAACTGGATGAATTTATGCCTTTTCAGGTAATGAATTTTATGTAAACACCCTTAAAGTTTCTTTATTTGGTACAAATGCTCCAGGACCAAAACTAAAAGTAACTCTAGCTAATTCACCATTAAATAATGGAGCTGAAGTTTTGCCTACTATGAATTCTACATACTCTACTAAGAAATCATGATAAACAGTGAATGCCACCTCTTCTATTTCACCATCTACTCCAAATTGAATATAACCTTTGGCAACTCCATTATCACCCTATCTCTTATATCCAAAATACACATAATTCCATTAACCTTCTAAATTAGAGAATGGGATATCATCCTTAAGATTAAGAGTCTAAAATTCATATGATTCTTAAGTTAAAACACAAGCCAATGTCGTATCTTTTACAGTTTAAGGTCTACCTCCATTAGCTCTAACCCATTTGCCATCCAATGATTCAATTATAAATCCTTAAGTACCAACTCTGGCAATATTATGAACTGGGGATCTTTTATTTAAATATTTTGGTAATGTTGTCAACCATCTTGTCCATAGACCAAATGCATATTCACTTTAACCATTAATCTTCATTCCATTCTCATCATGAATAATAATCTTATCTACAACATTATCAACTTGATCAAATTCTACATATCTACTCTAATCAACACCCAAATAAGTCACTGGTTTGCCGACCTAATATACTCCCATTACTCCTTCTCCATAATTAAATGTTGTCTAAAAATCAAGACCTTCTCTGTAAGCACCTTCACCCATATAAATTCCTACAAAAGCTATTTTCCCGTTGAAAGGTGAGACTGTCTCATCTCCTCCTACTGTAACACTCAAATGATTAACTTGCTTATGATAAACTCCTTCAAATTTAACTTCTCCAATTACTTAAGGCTTTATTAAGGCACCATAAGCTCTTCCTTCCTTATAACCAAAATATACATAAGTCCAAATATATTCAGCACTTTCAACACTCTTTAAAATATTTACAGACCCTTTGGCTCTGTTTCCATATACAGTATAAGTATTGAAATATACATTACTCTTAACACCTCCACCATATATATGATGAACTTCCAAAGCTCTATCACCTAAGACTCCTTTACCTTAAGCACGTACTTTATTTGATCTCAAATTTATTAGTTAAAATGCATTAGGTTCATCTACTTTGAGATCATCCACCCATCTGAACCAAAATGCCACTGCATATTCTTCAATTAATAATTATGATTCTTAAGGATCAAAATGATAATGTTCTCCTTTTTCATTACCATTAATTAAAATTGGCTTGCTGATAATTGTTTCTTCTATCAAAATAGGAAGTTATTAGGGCATATTACTCAAAGTTTTAATGATTTCTTCCAAAGATTCATCTCCATCTATAAATGCAGGAGCATCAACATCATAAAAGATATTTGCAAATTATCCATTTAATCCTAAATAATCCATATGCTTTCCTCCAAAAATGAATTTAACATATGTAGGTGGAACATGCTAAGCTTCAATTTCTATTCTATATTTAGGTGCACCTTCTCCATATTTTACTATATATCCCACTACTTTTTTTTATTAAGAACTGTAAGAGTATGCCACAAAATACCATATACTATCCATATTCTCATTCAATACAACATTTGTATCTTTTGTTTTACTTTATGTTGTAATATCATATGTTGAAAATACAAATGAATTATCATATAGAAATAGTGCTAATGTTCTATCCCCATAAAAAGAGAAATCTTCATATTCTTCATTTGTTGTCATTCTTGATAAGAAATAATATTTTCCTTCTTCTCTAGCATGTTATTTGGTTGAATGTTCACTGAATCTTACCCAAAATCCATATCCATATTCAGATGCATCTTGTAATAATGTTCTATCCTCAAATTCAAACACTTAAGTAGGTTCACCATCAAATTCTGAATGGAAATATTTAGTGTTAACTGCAATAGCTTTCTTTTCTTGAACTCTACCACTACTTGCTCTATGCTTAGGGGGTTAAAATTGTGTTGGTTCATTGGCATTAAATTCATCTTTAACTGATGTTAATTTGATAGATCTATCATGCTCATTTTAATCATCATGTTTTTCTTCATTAACAACATCATTAAGTAAATTCTCTACAGCTAAATAATTAGCACCTTTCTTTTAAGATTCAATAATTTCCTCTCCAACAATTTCTTCAACATAATTTTTATTACCATAACAAATTGCAGGTAATGGTTGCTTTTTTGCCATCTTTTTCTCTTACCTAGCTTCTTTTCTAGTTTTTTAGCCTGGTTTACGACGTGGTCCTGTTCGTTTAACTTTTTTCAAAACCTTTTTTGATTTCTTCCTAAACTAAGGGACACATACTTCACCATCTTCTTCTCCATTTTCTTTTTTATCATCAACTGGAACATCTATTTTTTTATCTTCTTATTTTTCTTCAACAACACTTTTCTTATCTGATACAACTTTTTATTTCTTCTTTGTAACATCCTACTTATTAACTTTAGTTTTCTTAGTTTCTTTCTATTCTGTCTTTTTCTTCTTACTAATTACTTCAGCATCTTTTTATTCATTTTTTTTTGTTTTTGTTTTCTCTTCCTTTTTTGTTTTTTCTTTTCTTTTTGGTTTTACTTTTTTTTTGTCAACAACTTTTTTATCATTTTTCTCCTCTTAGATAGTTTCTTCTAGAGTTTCTTCTGTAATTTCAATTGTAGCCTCTTCCTCTGTTATTTTTTCATCATCTGGAACTGGTTCATCTTATATTATTTCTTCAGTAATAGTTTCTTCAGTTATAGTTTCTTCAGTAATATTTTCTTCTTCTGTAACTTTCTCATCGTCAGGTACTGGTTCATCTTCTATTATTTCCTCTGTTATATTTTCATCATCTTTGTTTTCTTCTTCTGTAATTTTTTCATCATCTTTACTTTCTTCCTCTGATACATTTACATCATCTTTACTCTCTTCTTCTGTAATCTTTTCATCTTCTTTACTCTCTTCCTCTGTTAACTTTTCATCATCTTTACTTTCTTCTTCTGTAATCTTTTCATCATCTGGTATTGGGTCATCTTATATTAATTCTTCTGATTTATTTTCTTCCTCAGTTATTTTTTCATCATCTGGGATTGGATCATCTTAGATTACTTCTTCTGTAGTATCTTCCTTAACAACTTCCTCTTCTGTTACTTTATCATCATCTGGAATTGGATCATCTGTAACCTATTTAGGTTGTTCTTCTGTTTCTTCCATTCCATCTACATATTCTGGCTCTGGTTAGTTTACTGTATCACCATAATATTCACATTCTTCTCCAACTCCACTTCTAATATATTCAATAGGTCCATAAGTGGAATGAGCATCAACAACTTTACTTGTATCCTTTTAAGCACCATATATTTCTCTTGTTTTTATAACAGAACTCTTTGTCACTTTTGGATTTTAGCCATATTTATATACCTAAGGTTCTGAATCATCTACTGGGAATTCAGCTTCCATTTCATCTTCATAAACATATATATAATCATAAACTTCATCTGTTACTTATTCTTCAAAATAATAAACAACATCATCATCATCACTTTCTATTATAACTTCTCTTGGTTATTATTTTTTAAGTTCTTATTCACAAACTTGTTTCAAAGCTTTTAGTTATGCAATCTTTTATTTCAAATGTGTAGTTAATCTCACATTTTTACATGAATCTACATATCCATAGATTTATCTCTCTGCATTTCTTAAGTAATTAATAATCGAATTAGCTAATGCAACTCGCTCTTCTTTTGATCTTTAAGCATTAAGACGCTATACATAATCATAAGCATCTTCAATTCTACATGAAGTCCACTCATTTTATAGAAATGCTTTAAAAGATGGACGATTTCTTTCATAATCACGAATTACTGTAGTAGCCTACTTTGCACTTTCAATAATCTTTATCATTTTTGCTAACACTTCCAAATCATTTAACAATTATTCTCGATGTTCAATAATATCAACCCATCTTGTTAGTGCATCAATAGTTCCATCAAAGTTCATGTAACAATTGAATCGACTAATTTCTAAATCTCTTGCTTCGTAATAAGTCATCCCTACCCTAACTACACAGACTTCTGCAAAACTTAAGGTAGCAAACAATAGCAATAACAATTTTTTCATGAAAAAATAAATATGTAAAACCGTTTTTTATTATTATCATACATTAGATAGAATACTATCATAGACCCAATTCTTATCAAAATTATTTTATTGTATTTCTCATCCTTATCCAATTCAAAAATAAAATTCAATGACTTATACTATCCAATCTAACTCAACATATAATAAATTCAATTTTACAAAATTTCATGGAACTATTGAAGTTTTACTTTATTTTTTAATATATTCTTAATCATTTTATAATTATCTTGTTTATAATAATAATAAATATTACTAACACTATTATATAAATATATTGTAGTTATATCAATGAATTTAAGTTTAATATTTATAATTATATCTAAAATTTTATATATATCGATAGTATTAAATTAAAAATCATAAGGATTAAATTTAAATGATAAATTGACAAATTGTTTATATTATATAATAAAAGTATATTATTTTATAATTCTTGGCTAACATTATTATTCTAATATTATCATAAAATTAAATAAGGATTAATAATTTAAAAGATTCATAAATTTAAAACATCTTTTAATTAGTAATGCCACAAAAATATTTTATATATTTATGGAAATGATAATTAATCTAATAATTATAAAGCTTATTATGATTATAGAATCAAATTAATAATATATATTATAAATCAAAGTTTTACTTCTATGATAAAAAGGAATACCAATTAGGCAATTTGAATTTGTATTTACTTAAGTCTTCAACCTAGAATTAATATAATTTTAATACCTAAAATTTTTATGGCAAAATTTCATTATCTTATTAAATTTATATATATTAAGTATATAATTTTTTTAATGCATCAATTGATTTTTAAATTGGGATTCGATCAGATATTTATGCATTCATTTTATCTAAAACTTTATTTTGATATTTTAATATATATTTCCATAAATTTGCTTTTTATTCATGAAGAACTATTTGAGATTATTAATATTTTAAAATCTATCCCTATTTTTCTAAAAAATCTAATTTGAATTCATTTTTTTTTTTAATGATATTCTATTATTAAAATTCCTTTTCAATATCTCTGATATCTTTATTTAGTTTAATACTCATTTATTTAAGTTTTATTATTTCTCTTTAACACATTTCATCCTCCCAAATCCATATTATTCTTTAATTCAATAAAAATGCCTTCCATTTTTTACTAAAAAATAAATAAATTTATACATTTATTTGAAATTTGTTTCATCAAAATATTTCACAAATTCAGGAAGTGGATATTATGGATATCCTTCAATTTTGAAAGATAATAGCTATTACTATAAAAATTTCTCAATTTCTTTATCTTAACCTAAATCTATTTTATCAACATTAAAATAATCATTTAATTCATTGATATTTTGTAAAATGTAATAAATTAATTGTGATTTATATTGTTTTTAATTATGATTCGATACTAATTTATAAAGATTTCTTTGTAGTATTTCAAATTCTTTTGAAGTCTCTTTATCTTCTTATCTATATTATTTTAAATTATTATTTAATTACTCAATGTCAGAATTGAGTATTTTAATTTGATCTAATGAAATTTCTAATGATTATTAATCTGTTGCCATCTATAAATCTTCTAATTATTATTCAATTTTTTATTTTTGAATTTTTAAGGATTTTATATTCTCTGAAATTTCATTAATAAATTTTTACTTTTTAATTGTTTCTTAAAAAATTTCTAGTATAAATTAATGTTGACGATTATTTGAATAAAGATTTTTTTGCTTTTCAAGTTTTTCAATATATAATTCTACTAAATTACTTTTCATAATTTGGTATTTATTTAATAAATCTTTTTTGAATAAATCAAAATTATTAGTTAATCTATCATTTAATTATTATTTGAAGAATAAAAATTATTTTAAATTATCTATTTATATTTATTTAACTTCTTTGTCTTTATAATCAAGATTTAACTAAGAAGCCTGTTTTAATTCTCTATTTTATATATTTTTTAATTCTTCCTAAAATTATTATTCTCTTAAATTCCTTCTATCAATTAATTGATTCTTAAATATTTGTTTTATATGATTTTCAATCTATTTCTTTTTATTTTATTATTATATGATTTAAGAACTTAATTAACATTTTTTAGATTCTTTCTTTAAATTATATTCTTTAATTAAAATTGCTTTTTCTTTATTAAGTTTAACAATGTTTTGTTAATCTAATAATTAAATATTCTTTTCTATAGATTCAATCACTTATATTCTATATTAATTTAATTCATTTTATAAATGTTACATTTTTTCTGAGATTTCAATTTAATTATTTTTATTTATATTACAATTCTTTTTTTAGAATATCTTTTTCATATTAATTAAGTGATTTAAATAAAGCTTTTGTTTCAATAAATTCAATTTACTTTGATTTGATTTCTATATTTTTTTCTTATAATTTTCTAAATCATCCTCCAATTATTTAGCCATCAACATTTTTTCCCTTTCTAAACATATAATAAATTCCTCATCTAATTATTATAAAATTATTTATTTTTTCTTTTCAATTATATTATTTATTGTATCACTTTATTTTTTATATTCAATTGTCTATTCAATTTTTTCAGCTTCAATTAACTTATTTAAAACTATTTCATTTTCATTTAATTTTATTTATGATTGCTCTTTTAAATATAATATTTCTTTCTATTTTTCTTATTGATATTCAAGAATACTAGCTTAATATTCTTGATCTATATGATCCATTTACTCTTTTATTGTTTCTATCTAAAAATACATAGTTAATTAGTTATACTTTTTAATTTTTTGATTCTGCTTTTTATTATACATCTTCATTTTTATTTATAAAATCACTATCATAATTAATTGCAATTTCTTCTTCCATTTACCAAAATTCATTGCTAGTATTTTATTTCTCCAATTATAAATTATTATAATTTATTACATCTTTTTGTTACTCAGAAGATTAGTAACAAATGAGATCATCAGATTAATCAAATAAAGGATTGATTTATTTATTTTAATTTTAAGATATTTACAATCCATTTTCACATTTTTATTGATATTTCTAATCATTACAACTTTAGTGTATTTTAAATGCATCTTCACCAAAAAATTATAATAATTCTTATTCTGCTGTTATGATATAATCTTAACTACTTACTTCTAAATAGATATCAAAATAAACTTTTATTTAAGTGGCCAATAATGCAATTATTTTAGAAATCTAGTCTTTCATCTTCATAATTAATTTGATTAAACATTTTAATGAAATAATTATATTTATTATAGATTTATAATTGAACATATATTGTTAAAATAATGAAAATATACAGATGAAAGCTATTATCATTCTTATAATTTAATATTGATACTTTCAATTTATCTCATTTTTATTTTTCAATATTAATAGTTAAACTATTATATCAAGTATAAATTTACTAGATAGAAATAAAATGATCATCTAATTATATATTGATTTATATTATAAAGCAGTATAATGTTAATTAATATATACTTATTTCTAATAAATATAAAATTAATTAATATTATTATTATTGATCATTATATTTAATAATCATTCTTCTTTATTTTATTCTATATTCTTTCAAGATAATGTAGATTTTCATAAAAATAACGATTAGCTCTAGAAACTAATGGGAATGTTCCTATTTAATTTTCTACAGTCTCAATTTTATACAATAGAGAATTAGTTTGTTACATCAATTATCTCTATTTTTATTCTTCAGGTTATTCTGTGATAACTTATTTAGTATAGTGTTACAATTACAACTGTTTGTTAATTATAATATCTTATTGTTTATTCTTAAGTGAAATTTATAGATTTTTTTGGTAATATAGTAATTTTCTAATAAAATCTAAATCAACTTCTATTTTATTAGCATTATTGTACCAACCAGTCTTATCCTTACCAAAATCATTCTCCAATTTCTATTTAGCTAATTTATAATCTTTTTATCTAATTTGACTATTAAACATAGTTGGTTATGCTTCTTAAGAATAGAAGTCTTTCATGTGCTCTTAATATTCATAGGGTAAATCTCCAGCTCCAAATATTCTATAATAGACATCATAACAATCAATATGTGTGTATTGATAATTATTTGCAAAATTCTCATCAATTACATAGCCTTCAGTATTAGGGAGAATTCTCTTAGGTTTGTAGAGGAGATAAAACAATTTGTAATCAATACCAGTAATTTTACATAAGGCAGAGGCCATAAGTTTAGTTGAATTATAAATTCTAGAGGCAATCTCTAGATCAGATAAGAAGGATTAAACAATTTATTCTACAGAACTAAATTAACTTGTTTATATTTTTTGGGCTGCCAAATATAAATCAATAATTTCTTATATGGTAATTGATTTCATTACTTTAATAGAGTAGACAGCAAAAGAACTGAATATAAGTTTATGTATGTATAAGTTTTATTCAGCTTTAATTGATTTGAGATGGTTCTGTTTTAATTAATTTAAAGAAACAAATGTATCTCCTTGTTTTTCATCTAATTTCTCAAAAATATTATTCAATTGTTTTTTTTATAATTGAGTTTATTTAACATATTCCAAATAATCAAGTATTTAGAGATCTTATTAAGCTTATGTAATCATTTTGATTTTCTTTATATTTGCTCTCTTTTTTTTTGATATTGTAGGTAATGATTCATCTCTATCAAATGAAGCAATTGTATTTGGAATGACACGTTGGGTTGTAGTTAAATGAGTGGATTATTTAGTAGTGATTTATTCGAGAGAATGCTTAGGAGATCCAAAAGTGAAGAGAGGTTTGTATTCGTTTCTATGTGTGTATTCTTATACTTAAAGTGGTTATCCTGAATCCTTCATTTTTTAAATCATTCTATATTGTGAGATAAAATCCACCTTAGAATTCTCATCAAGTAGATTTTTATAAAAGAACTTCTTCTTTGAAGAAAAATAAGGTGCTGTTATTAAATTGTCTGTCATTTATATAAATATGAAATAATTTCTTAGATATAGATTTTCCACAGTTTTGGGAGTAGTAGGTGCTGGATAAATGGGAACAGGTATTGCAATAGTTGGAAGTGCAGTAGCAGGATTAAATGTAAGAGTAGTAGATGTTAATGAATAAAGGTAATTAATAATTGTAGATATATATTTTAGATTGAAGGCAAGTCATACTTTTATATCAAAATGGTGTGATAAAGAAATTTAAAAGAATAGAATGACTGATCAAATTAAAACAGATGTACTATAAAGATTCAGTTTTCATCTCTAAATATCTGATTTATCATGTTGTGATTTCGTTGTTGAAGCAGCCCCTGAGAAATATGAAATGAAAGCAGAGATATTTAAATAATTAGTCAAAGCTACTAAACCAGAAACTATATTAGCTAGCAATACATCATCAATTTCTATAACTAAATTAGCTGGAATTACAGATAAACCTGATCGTATAATTGGAATGCATTTCATGAATCCAGTTCCAGTAATGAAATTAATTGAAGTAATTTAAGGACTTTAAACATCTCAATAAACATTAGACAAAACTTTAGAGTATTATTCTATAATTATTTATTTTATAGATTAGCATCAAAAATGAAGAAGGAAATTGTTATTGCATAAGATATTCCAGGATTCATTGCAAATAGAATTCTAATGCCATATATAAATGAAGCTATCTATACATTATATGAAGGAATAGGAACTGTTGAAGGAATAGATAAAGCAATGAAATTAGGTACAAATGTTCCTATGGGTACAAATTATATATAAAATTTAGGTCCGTTAACTTTGGCAGACTTCATAGGATTGGATACTTGTTTAGAGATTATGAAAGTGTTACATTAAGATCTTGGAGATACAAAATATAGACCATGTCCTTTATTGGTTAATTATGTAAATGCTGGTTGGTTAGGCAAAAAATCTGGAAGAGGATTTTATAAATATTGAGTTAAATAAATTTAAAATATTATAATGATGATGAAAAAATCTTAAGGATGTAAAATAATCTAATAATATTCAAGTTTTTAAGAACTTAGATATTTTTGGTTAAAACATACAATTGAATTTTAATGGAGAGAATTAATATTAAACTGCTGTTGGTGGGTTATTTTCTATTGCAATTATTGCAGTTATAGGATTCTTCTTTCAATAGAACATTGTTAATTTTCTAAATAGAAATGAAATAAATCTAAATACTTAGACTATATTCGATTCAAATCCAGACAGAATTGAATTAAATGATAACAATTACATGTTTGCAATAGCAATTGAATAACCTTAATTCAACACTTTTCCTTTCTTCAACATAACTCTTAAATAACGTATATACACAAGATCTTCTAATGGAACAATATATAAAAATGATACTTTCATTGATCTTATACCTTGTACTTAAGATCGATTTCAAAATATTTTTAAGGATTAAAATTTCACACCTCAGTTTACTTCACTTAAACTATAGGAATGGTTATGTCCTCAATATAATTACTCTATTATTTTAAGTGGTGGTTACACAAGTGATCTTTTTGAGTTTGTCAAAATAGCTGTTAGTGATTGTTCCAATGATACAGCTTCTAATACTATTTTATCATGGAAACCCAAATGTTCTAGTTCTTAAAATAGAGATCTATATCTATAATAAGAACGTTCTTTTAGAATTAAAATGTAAAGTATCTACTTTATTATAGGTATATGACAAATAATGTAATAAATCCATTATAAGTTTAAAATATGTCTTAAGTCTTTTTAGATGATGAATCATTTTTTTCTTTTCTTATTTAAACAGGTACAGAAACAGATGTCTTTTATTAAAAATATAATATAACTACAGATGATAATGTTTTTCCTTATCTCAAAGAAATACAAGAAAATGTTTATAATGTGAAAAAAGCTGGAGATTTTAAAACTAGCACTGTTCAAAATAATGGTTAATAATATTCAGCTATATATATGAGAAGAAGTCCATACACATTTGTTATTAAAAGGGATTTTTAGGATATTGCTGATTTACTCTCTTATCTTGGAGGATTTGCTAATATTGTAGCTCTTATTTTTGGAATCCTCATAAAATCTTATAATAAATCAAGATGTATGAATTATATTGATTTAATTTAGTTATGATTGATTTGGCTAATTAGATTTATGATTTTCCTATTAAAAATGATACTCCAGAAGAAAATTAAAAAAGAAAAGAAATTAAAAAAACAATAGCCAGAGCTAAAAGTAGAACTATAATTATTAAACCTTAAGATTAAGATTAACAATCTTAATTATAATCTCCAAAATATACACAAAATCAATAATTAATTTTAAATGATACTATTAAAAAAGAAGAATAATTTATATCTAAACAAGATGAAATATATCCAGCAAAATCAGAATTTATTATTACTCATCGTTAAGAAGAATAACGATTATTTCAATAAGAATAAGAATAAATTATCAAATAACTTGGTATTAATGATCGCAAAGGTTATTTAACTTAATAAATCTAAAAAATATTAAATAGAAGCAAACCTATTCTATTTAATTATAAATATATTCTCTCTAAAATCTTTTGTACTAAATTCTTTTATGATCGTAATTGTATACTATTATAAAAAGCTATGTAAGATTTTTAAATTAATAATAATATAGATAAAAAATTAATAAAGATTTAGATCTCTGTGTTATTATAGACAAAGTCAAAGAAATTAATTTATTAAAAGAATTATTATTAACTTAAGATTAATTAATTTTATTTGATTTTGCTCCTAAATAGACTATTAATCTTTTAGAGGAATAATAAAATATGACTAGAAGTTTAGTAAGAAGAACATTAGATAGTTTGAGATCAAATTCAACTTAAGTAGAGAGTTTTAATTAAGATGATTCACTTAATGCTTATTATAAGTTATTTTAGGTGACAATAACTATATATAATATAGGCTTATGATCATATTCATTAATCATTGTAATAGAGTAATAAAATAAATGAGAAATTGATTGAAAAATTAGGATAAGAAGTAAGAGATATTTTTGAAGTATCTCACTTTATCTAATGGGAAAAGAATTAAATAAAAATGGATAAAGATGATGTTCAATGTGATTCTGTTAATTCAGATCCACTTTCAATTAATAATATTGAATAAATAAAGATTAATTTGAAAGTTAAGATGTGAATGAATGTAATATTAATTTATATAAATTAAATGTCATATTTCTATAACAGATAATAAGATTAAACATTACCATTGCCACATGGTTATCAATACAATCAAAACTCTGAAATTTAAGCAAAATAAACTAATCATTAATATTTTTTAACTTAAGCTGCTAATCAATCACCTAAAGATAATGATATTAAAATTGAAATTATCCCAAAAGTTATTTAAAATGATCATTTAACTCCATAAAGAAATAGAATCTTTGAAGAATTACCTGAAATTAAAGTAAGAAAAGAATTAAGTTAAACAAGATATAAATCTACACCTGGTAAAAGACATAGAATATTTGAATAAGATAATAGTGTAGATTTAACTCATTAAAAAATTGAATAAAAATAAATAACAAAAGTATCAAATAACAATCATAATATTAAATCATTACTTTTATAAGAAATAGAAACTATTAAATAAAAATCTTAACTCTATTCAGGAATATATTCATAATTGTTATAAAAAGTAACAATAAATTATTAATTAGTTAATTTAAATTGTAGAAAATAAATAAGATGATTTAAATTTATTATTGGATCCAGAGTTTAATAATATCATATTTAAAATACGTACATTGCAAGGTCTTGATTTTAGTGATAAAATCTAAATTGAAAAAATCATTAAATAAATTGTTAATTAAGATGATAAACTATTATTTTAAGGGTTGGTTAAAGAATTAATCTAAAATGAATGGATGTATTGGATAGAACCCTTGTATTATGATGTATAAAAATAATAAATACCTAAAGAAAAATGGAAATCATTTATTGAAAAACAAAAGTCAATCTATAAAGTATGATCATTTTTCTATTAAGTTTTATATATTCAATATTACCTTCTGTCTTCAACAATTCTTTAAAATAATTATTAATGTTTAATTCTTATTAATATGAAAAATAACTTGCCTTATCAAAAGAGATAGATAAGATTAAAAAAGGTTATATGAGAGAAAGAGAAGTTCGTAAAGGTATATATATGATTCAATATATAAAGAATTAAATAATAGATTGGCATAAAATTATAAGAAAAGAGTAGAAAATTTTGTAATCAATATGCTTGAAAATCCTGTTGTTTGTGTTGAATATAAATAACCAAATACCTAAGCATTTAGAGAGGAAGATCCTACTAAAAATTTGGGTGATCCACAATTTTATGTTAAGGGTTTCAAACATGAGAAAGATCGTATCCAAGAATCTTTAGAAAGAAATAAAGATCTTGATTTTCTTCCAAATCGACAAGTTGCTCATTATTGTTTTCGTGAAAGAGATCCTTCCAAAGATATTAAACGTGATGTGTTTCGATATAGAGATAAAACTAGTTTAGAAAGAATTGAATAATTTTTGAAGGATCACACTTAAACTTAGGTTGAAAATCAAAAATTCAGCAAAAAGAAACCATTTAATTTAGAAAATCTATCTGAAAATATGAGTTCACTTGATAGGAAAGCATATATAAGTAGATTGATTGCCAAAAATTTATTGCCTAGTTTACATCAAAAAACACATTTTTAAGCTACTGCTACTATGTTTAATAATTTGCCATGTATACTCCTTGTGTTAATTTCTAGTATCACTTATGGATCATGCTAGATCAGCTCCATTATTAAAATAAATAGAACCAGAAGAAAAAAGTATATATTATTTATCAATCATATTAGAATCTCAACAATAACAAAGGGATAATTAGAAGACTGAAGAAATAGAATAGAAAGATAATAAAATTAAGTAAGGTAATGAATTGGAGACTTTTAATCCTGTTGAAACTTCTAAATCTGTATTAGAAAAATGTAATGTCATTCGAAACAAAAATCCAAAAATTAGTACAATCCATAAAGGATAAGGACATTTAATCTCTACCTTAGACAAATCAATTTAAGAAATTTATAAGGATATTTATGGTATAGATTTAAGTCAAGGAAAGTTTTTTAAAAAATGAATTCATTATAATTATTATTGAATTATTATATTATTATACAAAAAAATATCTAATAAATTTATTAATCAAACTTAAGAGATAAATTAGTTTGATTCTTTTGGTAACTATTTTTATCTTTTTACAATTATCTTTTAAAATTTAATTTATAATTATAAATTCTTTAAAAAATTGGTTAATATTCTTTTGAGTAAATAAATTGGCAATTTAGAATTAATTATATTATATTTTAATTATAATTATAGGAAATAAAGTTGATTATATATTATTTTATCATTTTATCCACTAATAATTATAAATAATAAAAATCATATTCATCATCTTATTATAAAATAATTTATTAATTTTTATTAAATTACACAATAATATTTTTTAACAAATTAATATTACCTTTAAAGATGTCTTTCTAAAGTAATTTTTAATCTAAATTTGTAAATAAAAATTAATATAATTAACTTATTTTTAATAATAATTTAAAATTATATTGTATAATTGTTCTAAATTTCATTTGTTTAATATTTTTAAATGAATATGTTTATATACTATATTTAAAATTAATATAAATATTTTAATTTGTTGAGATTCATATTGAATCAAATTGATTTATAAAATATACATATTAATTCTATGATAATATAAGTTCATTTAAAAATTTAATAAGTTGTTATTAAATAATAGAGTCTAGTCTAATTAATATGAAATATCAAATTTTAAATAAAGCAACAAAATCTTAAAATAAATATCATTATGAAGATAAGAATTTTCATTAAAAATTTAAATATTAATAGAGATGAATCCTAAAGTTCTTATGATTGTTGGAGATTATGGAGAAGACTTGGAAATATATTTTCCTTTCTAAGCTTTAAGTCTTTTAGGATTTTAAGTTGATGCTGTATGTCCATAAAGAAAGAAATAAGATAAGGTGAAGACAGCTGTTCATGATTTTAGAGATGGAGATTAAACTTATATGGAATCTAGAGGACATGATTTCACACTCAATGCTGAATTTCCTATTGATCCTAGTCAATATGTAGGATTGGTTTTACCAGGAGGAAGAGCTCCAGAATATTTGAGATTACATGAGGAAGTATTAGTAGTAGTGGAATATTTCCTTAAAGAAAAGAAACCTATTGTAGCTGTTTGTCATGGAATACAATTATTGACAGCAGTAGGAGGAATAGAAGGTAAAAAATTGACTTGTTATCCTGCTTGTAAATTTGAAGTCACAAAATAAGGAGGTGTATATGAAAAAGTTGGATATGATGAAGTTGTTGTAGATGGCAATATTGTAACATCTCCAGCTTGGCCAGGACATGCAAATGCTTTTAGAGAATTTGTTAAACTCTTGGGAGTAACAATAACACATAAATGAGAATTCATTTAATCATAGATTAATTAATATCTCTATAATCCATACTAGTTAATCCAATTGGCTACTCTTCTTCTTAAAGATGAGTTTTCTTTTTTCTTAGTTTTTCTATAGTTTTAGTATTCTAATCTCCTTAAATATAATTGGAAATGTCAAAAACATCTTTAACCTCTTAGCCAAGTTTTTAAATCAAAATTTAATTGAATCTATTGTTTTATTCATTTGATAATGCAACCTTTTCATATGCTGAATAAAGTTTATAATATATTTGCATTCCAGGAGTAACAAATTACCCTTTTTTAAATTTTTTGTCTAACATCATTTTGGCAACATCTCCAAATTGAACTCCAAGAGTTTTTGTAAATGCTCTCCTATGTAAAATGTAAATAATATTAAAATACTTATTCTCCCTTCTACCAGGTGGCTAATGTTAATAGTAATCATTATCAATTGTAATCACTTCTTTAGGAGCAAAATTAAATAAAATCTATTAATCCTTATTTAATAATAACTCTTTAATTAATTCAATTTCATTTATTTTGTCTATCAATACACATATATCAATATCTGAATTGATTTTCTTTCTATTCTCAATATAAATTCATACATTGCTCTATTTAATAAAATTGAATTTTAATCCTAAAAGAATTTTCCACAAAACAATTAATGTAATAAAAATTTAATTGTAAAAACAATAGGTTTACTACGATCAAGCATAGCTTAAATTTACTTAGTCAAATATTCTTTTTTATTATGATTCCCTATTTTTCTTACAATTTTTTAATGAATTTCTTTATAAGATTTTTTCCTATCTTATTCAGTCTAATCCTTAGATATTCTTTGATCTTCATAATAATTTTTTGCACTCTCTTTTATCATATCAGAAACATCAATTTAATGATGATTTTAGATATCAGCAGCATCTGCACTTTACCATTCAACTTCCTTATCTCCAATTGGCTACCAATGATTACCTAATATCATTTTACATGATTCATCCTTATTCATTTTAGCACCTTAAATATAATCAAATTTTTAAGAAAAAGTTTATCGAATAGACATTCTATAATTCTTACCTAAAGAATTATTTCCAGGATTCATAGATGAAATAGGACTACATCGACTTAATATCATAGGTTATGATTTCAGATATGTAATGTCTTAGACTAATTTTTATCTTTCAAATTTCTCTTAATATTCCTACCCGAAATTAAAGTCATAAATTTAATTAGCTAATTCAATTAAATCTAAATGTAAATGAATTTATATCATACATAATTGTTTATTATACATACCAACAAAAAATCCTAATACAACAATTACAATATTAGCAAATCCTCCTAAAATTGAAAGCATCTTATCCAATTTTTAATATGATCTTTTGATATATGTAGTGTAAGGGGATCTTCTAAGATAAATTGTTGCATATGTATCACTAGCAAAACTGTTTTAATCTCTATAATCTCCTTATTCTTTGGCAAACAACTCTTTTGTATCAAATGTACTACCAGTTGGAAGTAGATTATTATCTGTTTACATAAGATATTTAGTAAAAAATATGTCAACTTCTTTACCAACAACTTAGGGAATAAATGAGAAAAATAATTCATCATCTAAAAATGATTAAACATAATCATCACCTTTTTATGGACTAATCTTTTGATTTGTAATATATCTATATAAAATGTAATTAATACATTTTAACTCTATATTATCTCTATTGTATGAGCCATTGTGATATTGCTTCATTGGATGCACAAGTAGGTTACCATGTATAAAAGGAATTTGTCTGAGAATGGTTGCTACATTGACTAACAGTTATTTTCAGAAAATCAAATAAATTATTAGTGTACCTTCCTTTGAGTGTAAATGAGTAATTCATTCTAATTATAATATTATAAAATACTATGGACATAACCATGTGTCTAAACCAATCTCATTATATTGTTGAGTAAAATTTTATCCAAACTAATTAAAAATCTATTGGAATCTCTCTACAGTGCATGGAACAAGATCTAATAAAGTCTCATCTTTATATAGTGATCCATCACCTTATCGTTCGTAACGTCTAAATTATTATATAGAAATACCTTGATGCCATAGTGATATTGAAAAATGGATTAGAATTGAAATTTGTTTATTCAATAGCTACTGCAAACATAAAATTTGTATCATTTAAATAGATTAAATCTGGTTGATCTTCAAAAAGTTAATTGCTTTCACTTTGTATATTAACTTTGTTGACAAAATCTTTTATGTTGGATTAAAAGAATAACACAACGATTGCCAAAATGATTAAAGTCATTAAACCTCCACAACCAGTTTTATATTAATCTTCACCATTAAGATTAAGAAGAATATTTTATCCAAATAAATCTATTGATCTAAGGACTTTTAATTAGTTATTTAAATTACATTTCACAAAGGATTTTTTGTAATTGCTCATTTAAAATTATATTAATATTAAATTTAATCTTTAAGAATAACTCAGACTCATTTAAGAATTTAATATGATTATTATCTTCTATCATTTTTAAATTACTAAAATATATTCAAATTATATCATTCTTTTTTAAAGAATTTGTAAACTTATTGTGTCAAAGTAAAAACACTTTGGCTTTCTTCATCATCAGATAAATCTATATACTATTTTAATATAAATACCTGTATAACTATGTTCATTTTCATCACAAAAGTAATTGAAGATACTGATAGTAGTTTTTGTTTTAGAAGATGTAAGAGGAGTGATATTTTCAGTCCAATCATACAGGTAGTTCTCTTACATTTTATTTTCTCTCAAAATCTTTTTAAATAATGAAATCAAAAAATCATGATCTGGCTTATTTACATTCTGATTCCATTTTATGTACCCAAAGAGTTCAGCAAATGGAAGTCTACTCATTATTTTAGAACTTAAAAATTATTCCTTAAGTCTCATCACTTCTTCATTGTAGAGTACACTATTTGAATATTTCATCCAAGGAAGATTACCTATGATCAATACTATTTTACCTTTATAGAGAAATACAAGTGTATAGGCAAGCATTTCAATATCATCAATGAATCTGTAAGGTAACATTCTATGTACTTAAAGAGGATCATATAGAAGAGTGCCTTCAACTTCTTGAGAATACACAAACTAGTCAGCATCCTTAGCTATTCCGAAATCAATCAGATATATTTATGAATCTAAAAATCATTACAATATTAAACACCTTCAAGTGATTTTATCATTAGATTTGTTGGTTTAATGTCTCTATGTACAATATTTAAAGCATGAACTTCTTTCAATATTTCAAGTACTTTAATTCCAATACAACATATGCACTTTAAAGAGAGTTATTTCATTTTAGCTATTATAGTATGCAGATCTGAATTTAAATATTCCATGCTTAAATATGTGGATTTGCCTGATTCTCCCAAAGAGTACACTTTAGGAATTCCTTAGATGTTTGATAACTTTTTCATAATTTTATATTCATTAGATAAGTCAAACTTAGAATATTTAATAGCAATTTCTTATTTTGTAGTGTGATCTACGCCCTTAAATATTGTACCATATCCTCCTTTAAATAGCTTCTCATGTATAGTTAAACCTGGAAGATCATCAACTGAGGATATGGTTTTGTGAGTGTTGATAATCTAAGAATTTCGAGTCATTAATATTATAAAATGATTTAAACTGTTTAATTTAAGTCTCAATTCAAAAATGAAGATTAAGAATGCGCTTAATTTATACTAATCATATTTATTGTTCAAATTTTTATTATATATATATTAATAAACCAATAAAAGGAATAGAAAAATAAAAAAGATAGATGAATAAAAGTAATTGAAATTATTCATCTAATTAGAAATATTAAATTAAAACAAGGTGTATAAATAATTGTTCTGATATCTGTATTATATTTATTTATTATAATAATGTTTTTTTAGAAAAAGGATTGTTTTAATAATTAAGACATTTATTTATTTATAGTACTTCTTGTTTGCTTGAAATCTTAGAATTCAAAAAAACCAATTCTGAAGATAACTTTAGATATGATGTCAGGTGCATCATTTTGTAAGTTAGATAATCCTCCTAGCTTCAAATATTCTCAAATGATTGTATCCTCTAATAATAAAGTATATTAATGAAACTACTCTTTTTGATTTAGACTACTACTTCGTCTAAAAAATAAAGTTTAAAATTTCAGGTTATCTTCTCATATATCAATCCTTCTATTTTTTATGAGGGAGAAAAAAAATGTAAATTTGGTTTAATCTACAATTGAAGCTGCTGTACATCATCAATCTTAATTTATATAATTCCTAATCCAAGAAAATTTGCAACTTAAAAAATAATATATTTATAATTAGATAATCTAGAATAAAGTATGATTTTACAAAAGCGTACTCTCCTTTAGGGTTTACATTTTGTAACACTGAGTTAGGGAATAATGTCAGAACAATTTAAAGTTAGCTAAAGATGAAATCTAATATCAGACTCTCTAAGGAATTTTAAATTGTACTCAATCAAAGAAAGTTTAGGAATTGAATTATTATTTGAATTTTATGGTTTAGTATAGTTTCAATAATTTAATTTTATATTGTTTCTGATGATGCTTTTTTAAAATATAGTAATAAAATTGAGATTCAAAATAAATTTATTTATTATAGTAAATATTATCTTGAGTCATGGATATTAACTGATGAGAACAATAGTTAAAAGTAACACTATCATGTTGATTAGATTAAACTTTGATCCATTATAAACGAACTCTTCTTCATCATCAGAATCTGAACTTAATCCTTAAATCTCCATAATAGTTTTATGCACATCATTTTGTTATTGCCAAACCTACAGTCTTTACTCTCCAGATATGCTTTCCTTTTCCATTCTATCCAACTTGTTATCATCAATAATATTTACATTCTTTTATGCTTTTTTTAATGTTTTTTTCAATCTGTTCATAATTTTTGGTTATTCTTTCTCTTCTACCATATCAAGAAATAATCCTAATATTTCTTCTGATTATTAAGCATATTGCTCTTAATATTTTTACATAATAATATAATTTCATATTTTCTAATATCATACTATTTTTCATAATTATAATTATTCTGATTTTATATTAAAATGATTGTATTTTTATTAAAAGTATATAATAATAATTATATGTTTCAAATACTCACACTTAAGTAATTTAATAGATTCTTTCATTACGATATTCCTAGACTTATGTACACTTGTAGATACCTTCTTAAATGAGACAAAGAATTGTTACACACATAAATAATCTATTATTTTAAATTAGATGTTTACATGATATTTAGTTATTAATATTTGAATAAAGGAATAAAGTCTAGAAATGTATTTTTCATTCATATCGGAACAGAAATTGACTGTATGATAGTTGAAGTCTCCAAATTTAACACAATATGTTGCCTATTCAACCTAATTAGAGAATTCAACTATAGTGTAGAGATTATAATCCTTTAGCACATTAAAATCAGTTTTATCATTAGGAATGTAACCATAACAAATATGATTATCCAATTAATAGATTGATCTCTTTTTATTTTCAATACCTTCGCAAAAAGCTACGATGTAGTTTTTGTATTAAAAGTTGTGATTTTATTTTTTTGAGACTGACACATCCATATATAAACACAATATTGGACTTGAGTAATATTTTTTAGTTTTAATATGGAATTGATAATAAATTACTTTATCTTCAATAACATTGGCAATTATTTTTTTATAAGATATATCTTATTTTTATTTCATGCTTACTCGTTTTATATTATTACCAAGATCTAAAGTTGATCCAGAAATAAGCATTGGATACATCTAAGGGTTATAGAATTGAAACATCACTTTTCTATGATTCCAAATGTCATCTATGCCTTTAGGGATTTAAATATTTATTACGTGAAGATTCTGTTGTTTTCATTAGACGATTGGGACCGGATTCCCATTCAACATCACTAGGTTTGATAAAGGAAGATGAGAAGTATTTGTATTGGAAATCATGGATAGGGATATCAATAGTCCAAAGATGACCCTATTTAAGAGACTTGACTTACTTGATTCCATTACATTCGTTTAGCCTAATTCAAAGACCAATTACCAAAGTAGTCAGAATCACCAGAAATATATATTGCATCACCCACTAATAGTTGGTATTGTAATTGTAAAGTTAACATATATGTTTATATTTTTAATGATTATCATTAGAAATTGTTGGCGTCTCTATTGTAAGTCATTATAGTACGATTTTGATTATTACGTATCTAAAAATGAAATATTATTTTTATTATTTTTTAATTCATTACTTTAATATAATTACAATTATAACCTATATAATAATTAAAATTAGTTCCAATTTTTAATTTATCAATCTTTTGGAGAACTGGTCAATCCATAGATGTCAATTTGACAATAAAAAATTAGAATAATTTTAAAATACAAAATTTCACAATTAAATGATAATAAAAGAATATTTCAGAGAGAAATAAAGATCAACTTAAGCTAAATATAAGAACTAAATTTTCTATAATGAAGTTAAAAAAAAATGATAAAATAAAGTAAATTTAAATTAGATTCACTTCTCCTTAATATTATATATTAAATGATTGAAAAATAAAAGAAATTTAATTTTAATCCAGTTCTAAAAATAGTATTTTTCAATTATTAACTAATGTACTAATATAAAAGTACTATTTGCAAGAAAATTTCAATATATACTCCATACACATGTTGATTAGATAAGAAATCAACAATTTAGACTGTAAAATAGATAAACTTATATTCTTTATCTAAAATTTGTTGATAAAACTAAAAAATATATGAATATTAGAGTTATCTAATTTACTTTAGTAATACTTTCAAATTTTTAGATATATATATATATAGCTATTAAAATTAAATGATATTTATTATAATGTGGATGATTATCAAACTTGGATGTTTGAGAAGTCAGCACTCTTAACAAGAGCCAAAGCTTATTCACTTACTCCTAATTCTCTGGTGAATTCATTCTTTGTATTGGTATAAATATCGGTTTCTTCAGCATAGGTGTTATTCTCTAATTCTAATTCAGCTGTGTATTATTTTTAATCAGCAGCTCTTTAATCTCTGAATTCACATAATTAGTCAATCTTTTCTATATAAATTAATTTAAGTATTAATACCATTAGTGGCAGTCAAATCAACTGTTGCTCTATCAATTTATCTTTAGAATTCACGATGTTCATCATCTAATTATTCAAGGTAAGCTTCATGATCAATTACATCTTAAGCTTCTTATGCTGTTAAATCATTAATTTAATCAACAACAGCATTTCTGAAATCATTAAGGGCATCAACAATGTTCTTTAATACGTCTTAGTTGGAGAAGTTTTGATTTGATGCTAAACTAATCAAAGCCTTAATCATTGGAGCCATTCTGGATCTTGATCTGATCTTATTTTCAATATTCTTAAGTGTATTTTGGAATCTTCTAATTTACAATAATGATGGGTTTGTGAGTGAAGCAAGGAGAGCCAAAGCATCATCAACTGAAGCTGTAGCATCATTTAATTCAGCAACTTAAGCTTCAAAGGCTTCATGCTCTTATTCTCTAACTAAGATAGCCTCATCATAATTCTTTCTATTGTCTTCTTAATAGCCAAGAACAGAGTCAATTTTATCTTGAATTTAAGCTCTTCTTGGATATAAAAGATTATCTAAAGTATCTTATGTATTGTTAACATCTAAAATATTCAATATTTATTTTTACCAATGACAGCATCTTAGATGTCTTATTCTAATGAAACAACTAAGGCATTGTGTTCATTTGTTCTAATTTAGAAATTGTATTCTAATTCTTCTAATTCCTCTTCTAAATCGTTGACAAGTTCTTCAATAGCATCAATCAATTCCTAAACTGGTCCTCCAGCCATTGAGTGTAACTCAACTAAATGAAGTAGGGCCTTTCCATAATTGCTCTTAGCCAAATCAGCTTATACTTTGGCCATATTTCTTTCTTAGACTCTAGCTGTGAATGCCACAACAATGAGGGCAATCAGAATAATTGATTTCATTTAATTTATTATCAATCACATAAAAACGAATTTTTCCCATTATCAACCATAAATTAATCGAACCAAATAATGAATTTTCTCTTTATTTCACTATGTAATAATTCAATACTTATCGTTTCATTTATTTTGAACATCAAATACTACTAAAAAACTAATATTTCAAGATATTTGAAGAACCAAAAACGAATTTTTGTCATTTTAATCATATATCTGATTCATCATTTAAATTATTAATTATAATAACATAAAGTAAAGAGTATCATATTTTAGTTTGTTTTGAAAAGATTTAAAAATACATAAAATTATTAATTTTAATCCAAAATTACAAAATATATTTGAAATATAAGAATAAGAATAGAGAAAACTTAATTCAAAAAAATATACTCAAATATTTAATATTATTATTTATCAAGATGATATTTTAGAGTATGATTTTGTAGAATTTGTATGACTCTTTCTTTAAAATTGGTTTAAAATATAAAGTAGTTTAGAGTTATTTTAATCCATTTTAAGTTTATTAATATTTTTGATTTATAATGTTTTTTTTGAATATCTGATTTAGAGTATTGAACCATTATTTACTTTTATATGTTTAAATAATGCTTTTCATTTTATTAATGAGAAAGATCATCATAATCATCAAACAAAGTTATAATCATCTCTTTAAACTAATCAAACTTAATTAATTTAAAATATTGTAAGGAATATAATTTATCATCTTCCTAAATCATTAATATAATCTAGGCATACTCACAATATTTGTTTATTTGTCTATTTTTTTATAATATAAATTTATTATATTAAAAATGTCTATTGATACTATTTTTATACTGTCTCAAAATGGGTATTCATCGTTTATTTATATAGTGAAATTTTAGCTCATAGAATATTTAAGGGTATTAAACGCAAAGAAACCTTACCTGAATTTTATTCTTAATTTGTGTAGTTCTTCAGAGGTACAAATGCTGTAATTTTGTAATGTTGAATATTGTTTAGGATAAGGAATATCCAATAATTAGAATCAAGGATGCCCTATACCCATTTGTTACCTTCTCAGATATCATTATAGGAGCCATTGTAACAGAAGAGATTCCTGTATTACAATTATTTGCAATACTATTTCTCATTCTGGATGTTCTCAAGTCCTCTTTTCCAAATGAATCCTCTGAGAAACTCAAATAGAATTTACCTGCAATTGGTATCATGC